GTGGTTCATATTTGTTGGAAAATGCAATTCAATCAGAATTAATGCAATCCAGAGGCATTCTCTAGATAATGGAGGCCACAAAATTAGACTCTGTCAAAATACACTTACAGCAAAGATGCTATTAATTTTCCACAGACAAGTTTTCTAGATACTCGACAGCTGAATAATCAAGGGAAAGCACCCCATTTGTAAAAGACTGGAGCGTAAAAGCCAAACAGTCTGATGCAGAATCTGTTTCCAATATTTTTTGATACAGAACTTTAAATTGAGCTCACAACCAAAGGTCTTGCCAAACATACAGCTTTATTTCAAACTGCGCCGAAGTTATTTTGTTAACTCAATTTGATAACAAGTTTAAAGGTTGGGGCATTGGAGACCGATGCATAATGTTCCCTATTTTTTAAATAAGTAGCGCAATATTCATCCAGAAAAAACAATAAAAGCACTAATTTCTAATTATTTTTGATTGCAAAATTCTTCCTTAAATATTTGCTATACTTCTAAACCAGCAATTATCCAGTAATTTGTGACTGCATAATAAATTATCACCCAAATACCACTATAATCTTTATCCCTAATGAAGACAGCATGAAACTATATAGTCAACATACTAAAAATAAGAAAACAGTCCCTAATTAAGCTTCGTGTGCCCAGGTGAGATCACACCTGACAAACTTGTCAATAATTCTGAGCTATTTTGCTCTGCAAATTGATGATTGTTGCATTGTTATCAGAGCTATTTAATTCTTAAGTGACAATTAATAAGGCGGCAGCTGTTCAGGACATAGATTCCAGATTCCAGTTCTACCTGTTCTGTCACCCTGGTATAAGTCCTCACACCTGAGTCAGGAGAGATCCTGTGTAATTGGCCAGCAATTTATTTGGTCCAATATTTCACAATACCCATGTCCATCTCTCTTAATCTGCCACTCATGGCAGTGTTGGTTTTGTAAGCATAAGTTGTGAAAAGCTCCTCTAGCTATAGGCTGTCAAGTGGGCCACATTTACTTCTATCCCTCACATCTCATTAACTTTCAATGGAAAAACTCTATCAAAATGCTACAAGTAAGTGAGATGTTGATTCAAGCAGAAGAAGTTATCAACAGAATGTTATCGGCAATCATCAAATACTATCCTGCTGGGCAATCAGAAGACCTTTCATATCAAAATTGGAACCCAAACAGGGCTACAATAGAATAAAAACATTGAATAGCCTGACAATCTAAATGCCATGAATATCTATGGAGTTAATTGAACTTTTAATGTTACCACAGGATTGTTCATCATGTTGCCGAATTACATCATCCAGGCCCTCTAAATAGAAGGTAAAGAGACTCCAAAACAATGGAATAATTCCCTGAAACCTCTGTACACATGTCACCCTGGTCATGTCCTGCTGAATACCTGGGGGTGTGGTCAGTTAATTAATTGGGCTTGGCTGACCTTGTTCTCAGATACTAAAGAATTATATATCTACTTAGTGGGAATTATCAGGGCTTGTACGGATCGCACTGTGGTTTAGAAAGAATGAGAGAAGCCTAGTAAGAGACCATTGCACATATAAATACATCTGTTCCTTTGCTGCTAACTTCCATCTATGCCTGCTTTGTTCTGCCTGAGGGAAATATCTGTCATTTTTGCAAAGTGTTAAGTGCATTTCATTGCATGTATCAAAATTGATTTGCTAATAGTGTACAATGATCACAGATTTCTTCCAGAAAATCCCATAACCAAATTGAATAATGTATATGTCTCTGAGATATTTATATTGATATGACAGCTTCTAAAGTTAAAGAATAGTGCAAACTATCAGGTATTATTACAACTGATCAATAATTGAATAGATCTGCTACATCATCCAAGAGGATCATTGTTGATAACTTGAGCCATTTATTAATACTTTAAACCATATGTCACATATCAGTGCTTGGCTGTTTGTTTTTCAGGGCCCTTGAGAAATGTCTGATATCAGTTTATGAAAATTAATGGTATGATCATCATTGGGCTATTAAGAAGGCTATAAGAGCATATCAATATTTTGGGGAATTCAAATGAGGTACATTAAACCCTATAGCAGTGGTTAAACATAGAATGTGTAACCTATTCATTTTCTACTGCTATAATGCCAAGAAGTCAAGTTTTTTTTCACATAAAGCATTATTTACCAGGAGGCCTCATGCTTGCCAAGTTATAGGGAAAAGAGAGATAAAAGGAGAACTAGAAGAGAAACCTTAAAGACTAGAAGAGCCTGTAATGGCATCTATAAATATCAACCTGTGATGCTGTGTATATCCAATTAATATCATCAATAAATCAAATGGCAGACGAAGTAGCTGTTGCCTATGGCAAAACTGTTCCTACTGCTCAACACATATTTTCCACTGCTGGGGAGAGCTACCAAAGCAATTTGGCGGTAAAAATCTACCAAATACCCCTTTCTTTAACACCCATTTGTGCTTTAAAGTCTTATCAGCAATTCTTGCAATGGCCCCAGTCTATGCAGATATATAAGAACCAAACAAGCGCAGTGACTTTGTTTTATCTTTTGTTAGAGCATATTAGCAGGTCAAGTGCATGGGCTCAAGGTTTTATCATCCATCCAGACAATCTTGAAACATTATCTAGCACATGTGTTCTTGCCATGGGTTATAAGGGGAGATCCATCTTTTTATAAAGGCTCATCATGGTGGAAACTGCCACATTCAAGGGCAGGACAGTGATTATATAGACATTTTATCATTTTGATGGAATACAATCAAATAAATGGAAAGGAAAGACTTTCAATCTCCACACTGATTAATTTATGAAGCATCAAATCAATAGTAATATAGGGTTAATAGATTTTTCATTATGACCCTCTGTTGTTGGTATTGCTGAGGTCTCCATTATATCATAACCCTGGGTCCGATTTATTGTTCTAGTCAATAGAGTTTAAGTGAATCATGAAATTTTTATGTCTATTGCTTATAGACAATTTATCCTCAAACCCTTCTTCTTACCAAGTGTCTGGGATTATGGAGATTCTTTTTAATCAGTACATGGACATCATTTGTTCAGTATGTAGCACAGAGCAGAGTTTGTGTCCTTTGTGGCATTATTAGCAATATTCTATATTTCAGGCACATTCTCCTACTAATATAAAGATAAGGTCATCTTGGATCATTAGCTGTGCTGTCAAGCCTTGAAAGCAACTAGCAGTCCATATAAATTAAATGCATAATTAAGAAGAGCAATGATAGTCTTCAGTCTCCTTGTCTTTATGGTTGGTCATTTTCTGAACTGTAACCTTGCTAAATAAATGTCAATTTAGGTTCTTGGTAATCTAATTCTTCAAAAATAAATCTTACTCAGAACAGTTTGGGGATTGGTTTGGTCTTGCGAATCCTTCTGATTTATAAAAAAAGTCTTTTTTTCATAATTGTAGAATCTTTTTGAAAAACGATCATGATTTTTGTGGAGTATTATAGGCATCTCTTTCTCTACTAGCAATCTGGATTTTAACTTTATCTAAAATGAACTCTTGCCAAAAACAAACAAATAATAAATACATAAAGATTTTTATATCTTATCTTCAGTATGTTATTTGCATGCATATCAAGACGCCATTTGCGGGTACAAGCATCAAGAACTTAGCAGCTGTTCATAAAACATTTCCAAAAAATAAATTATATATAACTGATCATTTTAAAAAATCCCAATCCTGTGTAAAAAACATGCAACATTATTTTACTATAACTATTTGCTTTATAACCACCCTCAAGCAAACCCCTCCATTATTCGAATGTAAACAGGACAACTAATGAGCAGTAAGAAAGTTAACATATTGATTAGGAAACAACAATCATACACCTGCTAAATGTTTTCTTGATAAAATTGAACTAAATGCTGGGTAAAGTAGATAAATACTGGAGAAAAATGCTTATTTCCCATTAGTATTATAATATGGCCATGAAAACTCAAAAACCCTTATTTATCCTTAATTATTCCATTAAATTTCTATTCTTTTATTCTTATTTATTAGTATTACATCAACTTTAATATTTAAACTTCCAAAAATTTCTGAAAAAAAAAACAAGGTTAAAAAATGGAAGGATTATAGAAATTATTTTTAATACTTAACTATCTGCTGTTTAATAGGCAATTTGTACTCACCATAAATCTTTAATTGGCTATCTAATCAGTTATCAGCATTATAAAATCAGTCTTATTCTGACTTTTTTTGAAAAAAAGATCACCCGAAAAATTTTAAGACCATGCAAATTCAATAAAATGTGCAACTGACAAAATCAATATGTTAACTAAAACTGATCATTGGATAGTCCTCTCAATTTATTGGCCTTATTTTCTGATTCCTTGTGGACACCTGTGCTTGTTTAGGATAAAGACAAGAAGTCAAGACTCATATGAATTGTGCTAAAGACAACATATTGTTTACAACAGGGCCTGCCCCACTGTATACATGTACAGCTGTGCAGACCCCCCAGGTTAAAATGATACTTTTTACAGAACAGCTTTTGATCACCATATTTTCACATACATGGCAAGATGTTAAACAGCTAAAAACAAGTGAAACAGTAGTTAGTACTTGCTCGAATGATTTTTTAAATACAAAGGGCAAGTTATCTGTATTAAATTATAGCAAGTTTTTTGACTGATAACCATGATGTGGCTTAAAACATTTGAATTTTATTAGTTGTCAAACAAGAAATAAATAAAATGAGATACATTTAATATAATGGTGGTAATCAAAAAATTATGTGAAAACCTTGCTTAGATTGTGATTTAGATATATAAGGTGGAGTTAAAATCAGATATTAAGAAAAAATAATAATTTCCAAGCAAAAAAAAAAATTATAATAATAAAAAGAGAGAGAAAATAAAAATTTAAATAACAAAACTTGATCATAACAAATAAGAAAACAGGTTAAAAAACAACTTTATGAAATTTAAAAAAAATACACATTTAACTCAGTTTTCTAAATAAGACAAGATGAACTTACCTGCTTAAACTGTTCCTCAAATGTCCAGTGATGTGCAGGGCTCTCACCATTAGGAGACAAATGTTCACTTCTAGAAGGGGATCTGGCATAAGGGAAGGGGGATCTACTGAGTCCTTCAACACTGCTGCGATCTGATAAAACATGAGTGTACGCTTCTGGCCTTTTGTGCCTCAGGTCATCTGACTGTGAGTGTGAGTGTGTGCGTAAATCTTGTGCATGTTCATTGTCCTGCATTTGCCTGAACTGTCGCTCTCGTACCAACAATTCCTCGTGCCTTGCTAAGGCATCTTTGTGTGCTTTCAGTTCTCTTTCTATTTCCTCTTTCTCCTCCTGTTCCTGACGCTTCAACTTTTGAAGAATTTCTCTGTGAGTGGGATCAAGCTTCTCAGGGTCCAGACCATTCATTTTGAGGTTTGATGTTTCACTATCACTGCCGGATTCTGAGGATTCCATGTCAGAATCTCCATTTAAACTCCCGTTGGACTGAAAAGTAAATTAAATTTGACGTATAAAACAGAACCATACATCAAAATAATCTGAACCGTGTTTAAAAAATTGTTTACGCAATATTTTAAATTTTATAACATGAATCATACTCTCATCACGATTTCAGACATTTTTTCTTTCGGAAATTCTCAAGTTTTTCTTTGACGCGGAATGTCTGGAAAATGCACATAATCAAACAATTACTATATATTCTGACCTTTCTTTGAATAGGTGAAAAACAAACGGGAAATCTTTCCACTTCTCGGACTTCTCCCGTTAGCGCCATACTAGCAATGCTAATACAGCGTACACAAAAACGAAAATCAACAAGGTGTCGGTAGTACGTATGCTAAGCACTAAGTGTAGCCAGTAGCACGCGAGAACAGATCAACTGCGAATGTGAAATGAACAAGTGTTTATACCGAAGTGCTACCGTGAGGATGTCACAATGCGCACGCCCCACCGAGTCAGCCAATTAACGAATGAGCTGTCCCTTTAACAATAGAGCTCACCTCCCCACGGTGTTTGTGCAGCGCGCACATGCAGGGAAACCCCTACCCAAGACCTGCCCATTCCGAGACCTCTCTGACAACCCGACCAACTCACCGCGCTATTGTCCATGCTGCTCTCCGTTTGTTCCGGTTCCATCGGCGAAGAATTGCCAATGTATTAATACAAAGATACTATTATCTCATATCATACGAAATCAGCCTGAAGCTAATGATATCAAACCTTCGGAAAGCCGCACTTTATAATGAGCTATCCCACCAGCCAATGCTAGCATACAGGTCACATGATCGAATCGGAATCACCTACGGAATCCCCTCAACTTCACCAGAAGATGAAGGCATAGGGAGTAAAATTGAGTATTTTAAGTAAATCTCTTTTACAAAGCCAGTAAGGAAATCTAAATATTGCAGGACTTTGCCTGATTCTTTGCTTTTTTTAACTTGTTTTTCTCAAATTTTGAATATATATTTTCGATTTTTTGGATTAATTTACATTCGAAAACGAGGCACTAACAATAAAAATGGCGACAGCCTTCAAGAAAACCCCTCTACCACGTGTACGCGAAAAGATAACGTCTGATGTGTCATACTGGAAAAATTTAGAGGTAAATTACAACACAAGAATAGGTGAAAGTAAAAAACACAACATTTCATTCGACGAGCAGTTAATTGCATGTTTGTATTGGTAAAACGAATTGTCTTCCTAGTGTTCCTCGAGTCAATGGCAGTGTGCAAGCCTGTTTTCTACACATTGCTTTCATGTATATATATATATCTGATTGGTAATACAAAACGTTATATATTTAAAATGTAAGACAGCTTTCAGAAATATTCAAGTGCAAAATGTACAGGCGTGGACATAGTCTACCACGAAGGGAATCTTAGAAATTATCCACAATTTTTTGCCCCCTCTTCCCAAGCATGCTTAAATGGTAATAATGTGTTATGAATATTGTACAGATACAGTGTATCTCCCTATAGAAACATGATTGTAATGCTATTGGTTTTTGTGTGTTGTCATTATTAGTAGGTGTCATGTAGATGTCATGTAGGGTAGTACATGTAGGGTAGAGAGCCAACAGATATGCAAACTGTTTTATTGCGTGCCCAGAAAACAATTATGAACAAAAATATGTATTGTCTATTGGGTGTATTTTTGCTCCTGATGGTAGTTCATTTGAGCAAGGGTGATCCCCCTGTAGTCTTACAGTAAGAAGTACACCAAATATTAAAATTAGTTAAGTGGGGATGAATTTTAAATTTTATGTCCCAGATTGTGTTCTCGGTTTTTTATTTCATATGAACATGGTGTTACAATCATTGATCGTCAGGTCAGCCTAAGTTCCTCTCTAGGTGAGAAAAAGCATTGATAAATCTGAAGGTACTATTACTTCTTAAAGTTAAAAGTTTTTTCACTTAAATACGTTTAAAAAAAGTTCTGGCTTGTAACCGGTTTCTGCTTACCCTGATAACATAGCCTTCTGCTGGAAGACAACGATCAGCAAACCTAGATATCATGATACACTTTTGTATGAATGTGGATAAGTCACCAATCCATAGTCGACTAACTTAAGTTTTAGCAAAAGTCCAAAAGTCCAAAAGCTTTGGTCTTTTGTGTGGAATCAGCCCCAGTATATATGTACTTGGGTTATGGATAAAATTGTATGATAAGTTGAAAGTATAAAACTTAACAAAGGTTTGACCAAAATACAAGAACATAATTTCATTGGTAATGGACAAGGGTTAACATGGGAATAGATCTAAGAAAAGTGTTTACCAGCCCAATTAAAAAAAAAAAAAAATACTTAATTCAGATGATGATATTCATAGGCTAGAAGTTTACATTAGAAAGCTCTATCATGACGATATGAATATCGTTTGTGCATCACATGATCTGCATAGATGTTTAATAGTCTAATAGTCTACCAATGTTTAATAGAAAATATTAGATACCTTTATATTGCAAATGATTTATTTCTAAACTTTATATTGTAATATTAAGAAGGAATAAATTCTATTTATTTATAAGATTTTACTTAACATAATTGACTGCTATGAACAGCAGCAACTGTCCAAAGATGGTTTTGAATATCAAGAACCTGTTACTTATTATTTGAAAATCTCTGTCCACCAATATCGTACTGTTAAACTTTTGGTTAAATGTTTTTCAGGCTATGTAGTTTGTTTTTTCTTTATACTATTAAAAATTTAATTTTAACAAAAACTTAAATACACTTTTAGTTTCCAGTCACAAATAAGGAATTTAGTGCTGTGACACACATAGATTTTAGCCAAGCTGCGCCTTATGATTTTGCTGTTACAAGTTCTACAAGAGTAAGTACAAAACTCTACAAAAGAGGTAAGAGAAATATATAAGAAAATCAATTGCAGTTATAAAAATCTTTCTCGTAAGTTCATGGTGTGCCCACACCAAGCTTTTCCATTCCTTTTGGTTATGTGCTAATTTTGATGCAAATACAATTACTCAAGTGCACCCTTTGATAAAGCTGCCTAGTTCTTTGTTTGCATATTATCAGAACCGTTTTTGGTGGATATATTATCAAAACTGATTTTAAATGTTTTATTAAAATGGCCATCTTTAGTGCAAAAAGGTCCTCCAACATCAGATTGTAATAATTGAAAATTCAGTTATAACAGATCCAAGACTTCCACCCCTGTGACACTAATCAGCTCCAGTACTTCCAGTCTGCAGCATTTTATTGGCTAGGAGTGGAATGCTTAATGAAAAGATAATGTAATGTCACATAATAAATTGGGACGCATAATCAATAGCAGAATTCCCTGATGTGTAAAAATGATTTCTATCTCATTGAGTCTTTGTCTGTGTGTTTTGACTCACATGCAGGAACATTCAGGAACTGAACACCACACTTAACTAAGTGTACAACTCCCCTTCCTCCCTCTATTTTTTTCCTTCATAATTGGTATGAAAAAACAATTAAACGATTGGTTTATCTTTTTATTTGATAAAAATTAAAGATCAAGAGCTCACCATTTATTGATACAAATGCATGGATTATATTTGTTGGAGACAATGTTTTATATCCAAAGGTATCAGTGCAGTGGCATTTCAAACACTGAATACTATTACAGTAATGAGAGTCGGTCAAAGTGAACCATGATGGATTCTAAAGCTGTTTACCTATCTTGAAATTAATTTTTGCAGATAATTTTGAGAGATTTAAAGGAATTAATGAAACTTAAATAATAGGAATGTGTTGTAATGATTTATCATGTGTAATCATTTTAATAAAAACAAACAAAAAAAAAAATTGAAATGATAATCTTTTTTCCCCATATCACTTTGTTTGAATCTTTTTTCCATATCACTATGTTTTGTCCAGGTTCAAGTCTACAATTCTAGAACTAACAAACCAGACAAGACTTTTTCCAAATTTCGAGAAGTTGCATATGGAGGTAGTTTCCGGGATGACGGCAAGTTACTGGTGGCAGGCGGTGACGAAGGTGTGGTTCGACTGTTTGACGTTGAAAGGAAAGCCCTCCTCAGAGTCTTCAAGGGTCATAAAAGGTATTTAATTCATCAGATCTGTGTAACATGACAGTTATAAGTCTTACCCTAGACACTTGGGAGGTTTCCATCTTGCCACTTAATTTTAGCTGTGCAGGTTAGCATGCTTTTTTTTTTACTTAACAGATCTATCTGTTCATCATTACATTAATTTTTTGCTGTTATGAAAGAATGAGCAATGGAACTTTTACACAACAAAAAATGCAAAAAAAAAGTTAAGTGTGGTGGTGGTGGTGGTGGTGGTGGTGGGGGGGGATGGAGAAAAGACGGCATATATAAACTTCTGTGACCTGTCTTTCCTACCAAGTCTTTGGCCTCATTCAAGACAGTTTTATGAAAAAGGAAAGACTAGTTTCAACATCGGGAAATGGACACAGGATTGCTCACTTACTATGCCATTGTTTTGTGATTCTATCTATTGCTCATTGTACTGAGCTCTAAAAGATTGCCAAGATCTGGTTTTGCTAGAGAATTTCAGTCTTGAAATTTGTCAAAAGCTTCTTCAGTTCAATACTGCCATTAGTAAAATGAGATGTATTGGAAAGATATTATTGTGATGGAACAATGTGTATTTTTTATATAAAGAGACATTTGCGGTAAATGTTATGTATATATTCTGAAAACCAGTGTCTATCCATTTCACTGCAGTTGCTGTCGACCTGTTTGTTTGCCTCGAAAGTTCCAGACTTAATAGTGTACTTTGTTTACTATGAATTTACTGTTTAAAAATACAGGTCAAATTAAAATCAGCATAGTTGTGACCAAATGATCATATTTCCTTTTTATAAGTACATTTCATCTTTATTTACCCCATAGCATTCAAAGTTATTTTTTCACTTATTAAATTCCATAGGGTGGTGCACAGTATTTACTTGAATGAGCATGTTTACAAAATGGACAGAGTAACCCGATTTCCTTTATTTAGTGTTTGCATTTTTTGCCAGCTTGACTGCATACTAATACAGTAATGACATGAATTGACCTCTTTTGTTGAGTGTTAATTGTGTGATTTTCATGTCCTGGATATCCTTAACAAAAATGAGAGAGAAACCTCATATATTTCACATAATATATTGGGTGATTAAGCTGTCCTTATTGTCCTTATGATGGAGCTATGACAAGCTTTGATTTGACTTTATCAATGGAAAACAAGATTACAAATGTTTTGTCTTCTACACATTTCTTTCTTTCGTGCAGTAAGCTTTTCTTATTATTGTTGTGCAACTAATGATAAGTTTGACATTAGAGTATTTGAAGTAACAGTATCAAATTTAGAGATTTCTTGTATTGTGTTGAGATCTACATTTTGAATGAACATTTGATGATACCAGAGAATGCTGCAACTTTAAAATGTGAAAAATGTTCTTGTTGTCAAAATGGAAATGCCATCTAGTAAGAAACACCATTGGAGCAAAGGCATTAAGGAAGCCTAAGTGATGTTTGTCAAATGATCTGGAGATATAGGGTGGCTTCATTGTACCTTCTGTCACCTCTGGAACTTTGAAGACAGTGAACAATGTGTCTGCACATATGATCAATTATGATACAGTTAAGGCTTCATTGCCTGATGATCATTGTTTCTTATAAGAATTTGCATGGCTTTTGTAAAGATCAAGTCTCTATCGGAAGTGTACTGTGTTTTTGCTTAATGCCATTTTTTGTGGTTTAATTTCCCTGGTTTAGGTAGGCGGTTAGTGGGCTATCACTGATGAATGATCGTGACTTCTTCCGATTTTGTGGTTCTAGTAAGATTCAAAAAAGCCAAGTAAGATTTGTCTTTCATAAGAGATCAGTATGAATTGGTAAAATAGAGCAAGGGGTTTTCATCAGGAGTAAAATCAAAAATGGTCGCTGAAGCATAATTTGAGGTCATTCACATTGATCATCTAATTACCCATGTCATTGCCACACAAAACATTCTGATCTGCTCCTTAACTGCCCATCCATATTTCAATTTTAATTTACTTTTACTGTGTTGGTAAGTATTAGCATAAGTGATTTTTTACATTATATTATCATGTTATATCCTTTGTGTATTTTTACATATTTTTTTTCTGTAATATGTTGTACTCAATCACTGTGGCAGTGGTGTATTTCATAATCTATCTTTTAATTTGCTGGGAGGTTTTGTATTGTAAATCAGGTTAATAACGAGCATAACGATTATAACAAATTTGGAATAGTGTATGTTCTGATCTCCCATGATTGTCTTTGTCTCTCTTGTTGCTGTCTGACAAATACTCATTTATCCCATGAAAACCAAACCAATGATTTCTTTGTAGTTCACCCAGGTTCTTGTTTGTCAAAATAGAGACCAGGTTCAAGGATTTAACATAGGATTATTTTCACAGAATTTTTGTGGTTGTGGGCTATTTCGGTGTTGTTAACATCACAAATGTCAAATAACTGTTTTATTTTTACTTTGAGTTCAAGGTTGACACTTGTACAGTGAAGATACGGATATTCCTAGAAATGTTAGTAATTTCTCCTTGTTCGCCAAAGTATAATCCCCTGTTGAGAACAACTTCTGGATGGAATCTCCTTTCATTTGTGTAAAAAAATTAGTATGTATCACTGAAAACCTCATTGGTGCTGGAGTGCCCCCTTCATAACTTGTTCAAAACAAGTGGCAAACAGATCTTCCCTTCTTCTAAGTCAAAGGTCATGTAATTTTCATTATTTTAATCTCTTATCTGGAGAAGTCAACAACTGTCGTAACATAAACAATGAAGTCTTTGGTGTAAATTTGAAAGTTAGTTTAAAAAAATCCCACCCAAGTCTTCTCTAACACAATGAATTAGGTTATGTATAAGGCCCCATTCAGAATAGGGACTAACTAATCCAAGGGTCAAATATGGTCGACCCACTTGAAATACTTCCCCACAGGATATCTGTTCAGTGTCTATTAGCGGATTAGACAGTAAGCATTATAGTGGGTCACCATATTTGACCCTCAGACTAGACGTTTTCCAATTCTGTGTGTAGTGTCATTGTGTATATAGTGTGCAGATATTGATGATTGGCAGAACTTTCCTAACAGTTGTTCATTAGTATATTTGAACCTATGTCTAGGAAATTAAACTACTTTCAAGGTCATTGGATGATTGGTTATCATGGCTATATCGAATAAAAATGTAAAAATGTGAAAACTGACCTGTCGTTATGTTCCAAATTTTGATCTTTGAAAAGATAAAGGTATAGACAACAAATGAAGGAAACTTTTCTCCCCAATTCAGTAACTGTGTTTCTCAATATTGAAAAAAATTTTGAAAATTTGAAACTACCACATTGCACAAGGAAGCTTATATGATGTTCTTATTCATTATTTGTTTAATGTTTTTTTTTAAATAAAGCTATGAGATCTATTGGTTTTGAAGTTTCTTGCCTCTCCAGCTTAACGAAATTTGACTTTTTTCCCCTTTTCGATGACAGCATGCATTTTTTAGAAGAAAGGATGCCCAGGGACCAAGGTCTATAACTGGACAAAAAAGGAAGGAGATCAATTTTTGAACAGTGTCGGTGTACATCGAATTCTTACAGACATATGCTTCTTAATTTGCACCAACAACCAAAGTCATGGAGTTTCATGTTTTCAAATTCAGTATAGCTATAGACTAAGTACTTGTGTTCAAGTTAGAATCAATTAGGAAGTTTACTCTGGTCAAAATGCAGATCAAGATTAATGCTAAGATTTTACCTATTAGTGCTTACCTTGAAGTATATGCAGGTATATACCACATAGCAGCCATACTTTATTTATAAAATTGCTGACAGAGGTATTTTTGAATTACAGATCAAATATTGAGAATTGAATTTTGACTATTCAGTGAACTAAGGTAAATGACTGTGTGTAGAAAAACACTATCCCTTTTAACACCAAGGTTACTCTCTCTCTCTCTCTCTCTCTCTCTCTCTCTCTCTCTCTCTCTATATATATATATATATATATATATATATTTATTTATTTATTTATTTATTTATTTATTTTAGGACAAGGATGAAATTATAACAACCAATCCCTTTAATACACTGAAATATACAGGTTAAGCCTTGTTAAGTATACACACATTAAAGGATTGGCTGTTTGTGGTATCAAAATGAAAATATCGGTAATTATAATTTCTATGAATCTATTCTTTTTTCTTTTTTTGTCTAATCTCTGTGTGTGGGCAGATCATGTGGAGCTATATGTCACAGTATGTCACAGTGTGTGTCATTGAAGAATAACAATATCATTGTACAGGTAGTGACAAAGTCACAGTAGCAGAGGGCACTGGTACAACACGTACTGATAGATGAAGGTCAAGTACCTGTGCCTAAACCCATTTCCAGTATCCTAGACCTCGTCAATTTGAAAGTGTTGGTCTACCTTATACTAACTTGTAGGTTTGTAGTATTGCAACCAGAGGTGTATTAAAACCCAGCAAAAAGAAAATTTAATGATACATGACTCCTTGCCAGAATCCTGGTGCTGGGAGACTTGCTTTTTTCCCAGTTGGCAAAGACTACGGCCACTTGAGTTGGTGGAATTGTATTTACGTCTCCATAATCTAACCTAGGGGAAATTATATTCAAGCAAAGACTAATGCAGTAGCACAAAATAAATTTAAGCAGTAATCTAATCTAATCTGATCAGAAGGAATATAAATTCAATTAGATTACTTCAAGAACATCAATTGCATGATAGTCTATTAACTCAAAAGTGTTTCAGTTAGTATAAGCTGTTGCCAATTTCTGCACGATAGAAAAGATTCAAAATCCAATTTCTATCCAAAGGTCAAAAGTCAGAGCAATGTTATAAGGGGGGATATTTTTTTAACTTGTTCAGGAAAGTTACTTTTATTTTAAGGAGTGCTACCTACATATTCTATTGTCTTTTGGACTGTCTAGTGGTTGGCATTCACAATGTCTTTTTTTTCATAATGCCAACAGTGTAACATGGTGTTCCTTATTTCTATGCACTACTAATCTGAAATATTATAAGCTATTGCAATATGATACAATTACCAACCCTTATGGTTTGTAATGGAAGTTGCGATATACCAATTGTATGAAACCTTTAAAGGAAAACAAAAGTAAAGCCAGTGATCCAAAAAACTTGAAAGGAACAAAGACTATTCATGACATTTTGCAAACTGATGTTGTGCATGTTCGCTTTCTAGTGATTTCGTATCAAATCCACAAATCTTGGATTGTGGATGATTTTTTGTGCTATTTATTTTTTTCTTATATGTAATCATTAGATTTTGCAGTATTTATTTTCTGCTATATAAAAATGAAGACCACTGATTCCTTTACAAAATGCATATAATTGCATACAATTTTCTAAAAATTGTCTACTATCCTATTTGACAAGGGTTATCATATGAGGAAAAAATTGCATATGATGAGGCCATACTTTAAAGTAGTTCATTTATCTAAATTTTGTATAGCTTTTAATGTATTGTAGTTTACCTCTAATGTTTATATTTTGTATATGTTCACAAAGAATTCTTAATGTGTCACTAGAGATCTTCATCACATCTGGTAGCACGTGCAATTATTTTGTTTTTTCTTCTATGGAGAATTTAAAGATTTTTATCATTAAAATGTCAGCTTCACTATCGATTTGTGGCAACAGGTGAACTACCTCCAGTGATGAAAATTGGTTTCTTAGAATGTCAGACCCCCCCAAGGTGTTCTTACTATTACGAAGTTTTACTTTGTATTTGGGAAGTCTGTCAGTTACTTATTCAAACTCTGACTGTTGTGTGATCAGGGGTTACCTGAAAGTACATCATGCGTATCTGTCTCACCTGTCTCAAATTTTACCTTGATTGTTTTTAGTAAAAATCAATACTTTACCAAGGAGGCTTTTGAAAATAATAACAGAAGCATGAAATTATAAAATCAATAGAAATATATGTACACCTGATATTGAATTACTACTGTGAATTTTCTGGATTTGGTGTTTTCTTTCTTTTCCCCTGATGATCTTTTCTTTCTTTCTTTTTCTTCACATTTTCTTTTCTTTATCTCTCTCTCTCATTCTCCTTTGTTCTGTCTGTTTATGTTACTGAGAACTCGGCTAAGGCCAAAATGTATTCTTTTAAGTCATTCATTAATCTCTATATACACTAACTTCTCTTTCCTGTAAGAAGTAGACTGGAATTTTCAATCAAATCCAGTTAACCCATTATATTAGATTAAATTCAGATTAAAAGAAGTAGCACATATTAAAGTACTACTGAAATGGCAGTGAATTGAATTAAGTTTAACTTAAAAGGGGGTTAGTGTTTGTAGACATCAGTTTTAAACTTTGTTGCTCAGACAGTTCCATCAGTGTTGTTGTTTGTTAGAAGAGCATATTTCCTGGCAGAGGGCAAAAGGATGGGAAATTTGATTGTCCTCTACACTGGAAGTCATCTTTAAAAAAAATAGAAAAAAGCATGATGTCTTGCAGGAAGAAATCTTCTGTCATTGGCATAAAATTAAATTAGCTCAATTGCTGGCCCTAGAATTGAGTTATAGCCAACCAGATCCACACTGGGCTGTTTGATTGCTATCTCTTGATAGGCATTTGAACTGTAAAGTTGCTGCCTTGCACATAGCAGTAAATTAAGAGATGAGAAATTCTCCTGGGATGCAGTCTTTTATTCCATTTCTATTCCCTCTTTTTCTTTCTCTTTCACACTTGCAGTGTGCCTGCATGTCTGTTATGTGTCTATCTGTTTGTCCGCCAACTCAACCGTAATGCTCCTCTTCTGTCTTTTTGTTCAAATTAGAAAAATACCAAACCTCAATAATGAAAATATGACATATTCCTTTTTTACTGTTTCAGTCCAGTTCATGTCACAAAATTTACAGCAGACAACTTTCACTTGGTGTCAGGCGCAGATGACACGACATTTAGACTCTGGGACATTCCAGGGGAGAGAGAAGTGATATCGTACTCAGAACACCAGGTAACTTGATGTCATCTTAATGGTACCATGGCAAAATGGCTGCTACAACTCTTAATAGTATACAGTTGCTACTGAATTGTTGCCCCAAACAACTGAATTTGTATCAAAAAAGCACTGTGAACTAAGACAATTGAAGTTCATGTGTTAAAGTGATGTGAAGGGTTTGGGGAAAAGTTACTGTTTTTTTCTGTGGGTTTTTATGTTAACAAAAATGAAGTTTTTATATTTTATTATTTATATATTTATACACTCATGGATGTTCTTAAAAGTTTGGCAATGTAGACTTTTGAACAAATAGGGATGCACGGAAAATTGCTGCAATTTTCATGTTTTTCTTTTATAACCTTGATGTAATTTCATTCACAATGTCAGTTGTTATCAGTTATTTTATAAATACACACTGTTGCAAAAATTCTGTCTGTACTTGATAATTGGAATAATATTGCTGTTGGGTGATAACAAGATCAAGATCATAACTATACCAATGGTAAATAATTACCACACTTAATGGATGTAAAATTATGAATTAGCAGTTTTACTTCACACATTTCTTTGGACTTGACAAACTGCACAATGCTGCAAGATTCAGTGCTTTTGAGTAGGCATAAAATAATTTTTCTGTCCCATTGGGTTACGTCAGCCATTTTTTTCACATTTATGGCCCTGATTAACAGGGGCTGTCATTGTGGTTTGTCATAAATGAAGTGAGGAACATAAATGATCTACATGTTGTATGCTTTGTAATTAATTTATTTTTTTCCTCTTGGAAAAAAAAGTAGAACATTTCCAAGTGGTTTGTATTATCACATTTTTCTTTTCAGGACTATATCAGAACAGGTGTTACTAGCAGGGCAAGCAAAGACATTGTTGTATCAGGTAAGATCATAAATATAATATTGAGAAGAATAATGACTATTTATTTATTTTTTTCAAAATAATATTTCTGAACTTATCTGTTTAGTGAAGCTGTTTTTCAGGTGGTTGGGATAAAACTGAGTCAGTGCATATTGAAGTGTATATCAGTCAGTCATACATAATGTATATCATGGAACCAGTGGATATATGTCATAGATATGCATCCAACAGAAATTATGAAGTAATAATCTATTATCTTGCAAATAATGAAGCTATCAGATTAGAAAGGTAATATGTTGACTGTGTGGCAGATTTTCACAAATTACCTGACAGAGATAATGATTTCAATAAGATATCAATTGTAGATGCCACAAATCTGTGTTTCAGTGCAAAGTATGATTTAAAAATGTTTGATGGATTTACAGATATTGCTTTTACACCCTTTTTTTAATCATTTACTGCTGCTTTTTCTTTTTTATACTGCAATAAAATGGATACAATTAAAGTATAAATTTTGCGGAAAAGAAACTATTATTTTTGTGCATGTAAAAAACAGAACCTTAATTTATGAAGAGGTTGGTTATTTTGCAGTTATTACATCATAAACTACCTTATAAATAAAAGCCACTCTATTTTCAATGCAGTTTAACTAAACTGTCAAATATCTATATGACAACATTTGTCCTTCAGGTTCCTATGATCACACAGTGAAATTGTACGACACGCGCACGGACACCAGTGTGTTAACAGTGGACCATGGTCAGCCAGTGGAGAGTGTCCTCATGTACCCTGGAGGGGGACTTTTTATTTCGGCTGGTCAGTGAAATGCATCCTATTTACTTCTTCTTCACTGATGTGGTTATTAGTGGTTTTTAATGGTTTTGGATATATTTTAAAGGAAGATTTAGTCATTTCTTTGATTTTAAAGAATTTCCAACAAACCAAAGGGAAATCTGTAATTTTTTAACATTGTATTTATTTTTCAACAGCAAAAGTCGTTTTTGTAATTACTCTGCAAGACAAGATAAAAGCAGGAATCTTTAATCTTCATCTTTTGCATAATGACAAATTAATTTTACGTACATTATCAGCTTTTATTTGATGGTATCTAGGTGGCAACTACATCAAAGTTTGGGATGCTTTGGCTGGGGGCCGTCTGCTGACGCAGTTCAGCAATCACCACAAAACTATCACTTCCATGTGCTTCAGCAGCAGCTTCAAAAGGCTTCTCTCAGGCGGAGTTGACCGGTGAGATTTGTGGTTTTGGTCACACCATTTCGTATGACAGTATTCAATGTGATTCCACTTGTTTCTGAGTTATTGGATGCTGGTGTGATTATTTAAATGGATAATTGGGGGACAGAGATAGCCTGAGTAGGTTTTTTTTACTCCTGAAATTGGATTGATTATTAATGATTGTGAATTATTGTGTCATATGTCATAATTATTTGTTCAATTAAACTTTGAAGAAAGTGTATGGTTTTGATTTAAAATGAGAAATTGATAAAAATATTTTTTTCATGTCAGACATGTAAAAATCTATGATGTTGCTACATACCAAGTTGTTCATACTTTGGACTACCCTGCTGCAGTTCTCAGTCTAGGTGTTGCTGTAAGTATTTTGTCTAGTTGATATTCATAGCAATTATATGTTTTTAATTCAAACATTGTAAATCATAATTTGAATGGCAAATGGTCCAGTGAAAGTCTTCCCTGAAAGTGCAATTTAGATAGATGTGTATTATGCAGTAAACATGTATATTACATTGAATTAAACACATGAAATTGATATAAACTGAATTGATTTGATGTGGTTTGTTGAAATTGGCATGTAGTGGGCGTGACATTTGGGTATCATTTCAGCCTGATGACAGTGTCATTGCTGTTGGAATGGCAGACGGGCTGCTCTCTGTTCAACATAGAAAAGCTGAGAAGGAAACGATAACAACTCAAAAGAAAAAGAAGAAAGCATCCTATAAATATGTTCTGAGAGGAAAAACCTTTGTACCTTCAAATGTAAGATTGTGTTCTTGTTAATATATATATTTTTAAAATTGCATGAGGCACAGTAACAGTCTAGTGCTCTATAATTTCTAAACAGCCAAGAATGAAACTGTATTTTGTTAATTTAGATAAGGCCACACTTTTTTAATTTTATGGATGACATCCTGCGCGCGCACCGATTTTCGTCCGTTCTCCAAAAAAAAAAAAAAAATCCCCCCCCCCCTAAGGAAGTCGGTTGTCGCAAACGTCTTTATTGAATTTACCGGAAAATGCAATCGGCAATCCTTGGCTTATTCCGCAAGCTCCATACTGTCATTGTCAACTGCGGAGACATCCGAGTAGTTCCGAGTGCGGAAAATGAGCTTTCTGCGCATGCGTATTATCACCACGTGGAAATATGGCAGCTTTGCCGTCAAATTCATCTCTAGCATTCATTTCAAAATACACGACAATTAAAGTCATAAAGAGAACGGGGCCATCGTTTTGGATTGGTTTGCCATTGATATTGTCATGGAGATATCACCCTTTTACAATTATACGAAAGGCTGGCCGCGGCCAGCGATCATCGCCCGGAAAATTTCAGTGACATTCTGTCCAAAGCAGCACATACCAGGTTTTTTTGTAGCGAAAAAAGGGTCGACAAGAGCGTCGTGGTATTTGGTGGACTGAAGGTCGGACAGGCCACCCGATAGTTGGCTGCTACGTGTGAGTCGAAGTAGACAAAATGGCATCGACCGAAATTACCTTTTTTAGATTTGGTAGTAGGAAGCATAGGCCTATCTTTGCTTCATTTTTTTAAACAATTCTGTGAAGTGTTTACAATGCTTTAATTTTCTGAGAGTACAAATAAAGACACGCTGTTTATTTGATATTTGTTTTATTGATTGCTATACCAACAGAATGCATGAAATAACCTTAAATAGATTTGGTAATATGCAGCATATATATTCATGACTTTTTACCTTTCTACGAAGTAGGCCCTATTCACAATGCTTTAATATTTTGAGAGCATGGATAAAGACATGTTGTTAGTTTGATACGTGTTTCTGTGGTAAATTAGTGTTTCCAGCTGTGTACTGAACACATAACTTTTCTTAAGCAGGTTTTTTTTTTTTGGACTGTTTTTTTTTTTTTGCGCCCGCTCGCACCGATTTTGGGGTCCCCAGAGGATGTCATCCATAAAAATAAAAAAGTGTGGCCTAAGGCAGAAGGAAAAAAAGTTACTCAGTAATTAAAAGAAGAAATGATTGGAGTTTAAGAAAGAAAGTTACTGTAAGATCAATCAGCACAGGCTTCATAAACAATAATTGCTGTTTGCTATCATGAGCCTTAGATATGGTAGCACAAATGCTCAAATTAATGACTCGAGCCACAAATTAAGTACCTCACTGTAAAATTAGTAGTCATGAGCACAGCGTTGGACGACATGAATGATTTACCTACCTTCCTGTGGTAGCGGGTTCTTTATTATTATTTTTTCAACACAGAAGATACGAGAAACAGCATGTTAGAGCTTTCGGAGATTCTTAGTCATAAAAGAGTGATATTTTCTCCCCTTCCTACATTTCTGGGGTCTACATTAAGGCCCAATAAAGTGGATAGAGTTATATTGACACATTTTGAGGAGGAGAGACATCTTTGTAACTGTCCATGTATTTACGCTTTGGAAATATTAAAGAAAGATAAAAAAAATCTCACAACAAACCAAAGTAATGTACTTGTATAATCTTAATCCATAAATCCATTATTACAGCAGCAATGTGCTCTCTACAATCTCTGGCTCTGTGGAACATGCCGCACAGGTATATAAGCAGATTTAGTCAGTGGATCGAATCACTGTGATTGTGGCTACTAATTCAACATTGGGACTGTTAAGTCTTGGTTTGGGCTGTTAATCTGGACATTCGCACTCACTAATCTTAGTCTCTAGTTTCCAAACACCCAATCAGTTTACAAGGCCTGCAGTGTAAATTATTTTATGAATATATATAGGCATGTCCAGGGTTAACTTAAATATTATTCACGAATTTGCAAAATGTATCAATATTAGAAATTCTACCCAATTTACAAGGATGATTTAATCCATTTAACCTAAAATACAAGTTCATGAAGTGAACGTGTCAGATTAAGGAAGCTCCAGTTTGTGTGCACTCAATTGAAGGGACTGTGTCACGCAGCAGGAGGCAATCTGGGTTGTGCAGTACAACAACATTAAGGAACAGAAGAGACATCAGTTCATAACCCTGAGGTGCAAAAGCCAATTTCATCTACTGATCAAGGAAACATTGAAAGAGAGGAAATTTGTTTCTAATTTTCCCTCCTTTTCAGCACACAATAAGTTCATTTGACTTCACATATCTATTATTATTCCATTATTTCCACACCAGTTTTTCCTGATTAAATCACAAAGCTATACATCAAGCAAAGGATATGAGACAAAATGTTAATACACAGACATAGCTATACCATTAATTGATAAATCAAAGGTCGAATGACACTAATTTTTCTCCGTTATTGTCCCATTAATCATACTTTTCCATATCAACATGATTACAGAAACGTGTTGACAGTGTAATAAACTAGTTATTGTGTCCGTCATCTCCTGCTCACTGATGTACATATTGTGTTGATACACAATTTTCTCTTGATAAATGGAAGTCCCTGATTTGGTGATGTCAGTGAAAAGGAAATGTTTTGTTGAGAAAATATCTTTTTCTCAAATAAGTCGAGATTGCAATTTCTGTCTTGATTGTACTCCGTTGACTCATTGATTCATTCAAAAGGTTACAACTACAATACAATCAAAGCCTTGTGAAGGTTTTGACCATTTTCCTTAAGGAAAGTTCTGAGGATAATATTTGAATAAAAAAACTAGCCTCATCAGCAAATATACAGTTCTTACTGACCATCACCCTTTCAAATTTCAAACAGAAGAAAAATACTGATTTATTTCAGGTATAAGGAACACCTTTTTTTTCACTACTCCAGGGGGAGTGTAAGGTCAATTTTTCCTTGCAATTTGGTTGATAAGCTGCAATTTTGGACAGGGGTTAAAATATTGTTGTTAAAAAAAGTTTCAGTGTGCATTTCAGTCATAAGCACAGGCTGATCATGAAAATAAACAAAATTTCAAGTAGGCAATAAAAAAGTTAAAGAGGGACCTTTTTTCATACTTTTTCTCTAACATGTATGATATACAGTTGATGTTCTTGGTTATTTATAAAATTGCCAGAAATATCTATTTTTAGACTGTTTTAATTGCTTTTACATATTCAGGTACAGTATTGGGGATTAAAAGTAGTTTCTTAAGAAGCCTAAATAAAAAGAATTTATATTTCTTTTTTATTTTATCTTAGTTCCGATTTCATAGATAATGAAATTTTATTAATAGTCATCTTTGTTTTCTAGGATGATCATGTTGTTCAGCATAACAGAAGAGTCCAGTTGGCCAAGTATGACAAATACTTTAAAAAGTTTGAGTACACCAAAGCACTAGATGCTGCCTTAGATGTAAGTTCACTTTTTTTGTTAGGATGTTTTTAAATAAATGGAGGCAAAAGTGACATATCTGTTTTGGTTAAGTATTTCATAACTAACCAGTATCGCATTAAGGTTCACAGAACTGTTTCATTCACTTATGTTTCTCAGTTCTATTCAAATAAAATATGCATGCTGTTACCTTCCATGTGCTAAGGTTTACCAGAGTTCTTCTATTTTCTTTTAAAAGATATTTTCATCCTTTTCTTTGATAGCTAAGAGTACGGATCAAGTCCCCAGAAGTAACAATTGGTGTAATGCAGGAGCTGATCCGCAGGGCGGGACTGAAGGCAGCTCTGGCTGGCAGAGATGACAAGAGTTTGGGGGTAGTCCTGAAATTCATACAAAAGTAAGAATAATTCACAGCACATTCCTTCTAGACATCATTTAACTTTAAGAGGTTACAACTGAGATCCATATTCCTCCATAAACACATTGTAAATAATTCTATTTTAACACCAAAACAGTGGTCATCACAATTATTCTGGAATCTGTGCTTGCCATCAGGCCACCTGACCTCCATACATTCACTAACCATTGGTAAGTTTGGAAAAAATGCCATTTACCCCAGGAAAATAAACTTTTTGCCCAATATGAAGTTGTTATCCCTTAAAGTTACACGTCCTTAGATGATAAGTGAAAGAATTTGCACTTATTAATGCTTTATTAGAAATAGATCTGACATTTGAAAGATAATTTTAATTAAATGTTCCTACTTCAAAGTATCTGGAGGATTTCTTTTGTTAACATTTTAATTTCATTTATTTCCAGGAACATAAGCAATGCTAAATTTACAGTGCCACTTATAGATGTTGCCAACACAGTATTGGGTAAGTTCAGTTTACAGGACTGAAATTTGCAGGGGAAGCTTTATTGTAGACAAATACAACACTGATGCAGTGATTGAAGAAATTCATAGATATTATGCAATTTATATTTCGTATCATCTAACAATCTTAATGCAGACAGTGCTTTATTCCCAATTTCAAAACTTGTATGGACGCATTTGCTTATGACCAATTTTCTATTTACATTTTAATAATATACAGATTTTAAGTGGGAAAACCTGCATATGGTAGCATCTGGATATTGAGTAATGGAATTCCTTTTACTCTAATTTTCTTTGCATGCTCATTTCATTTGATATCAGTAATCTACATTATTATGTCATAGTTGGCACTCTTATAACTGCATGGCTAGAGTTAATATTAAGTATAAGGAAGCATTTGTTGACATTACCAGCACGCAAACCCAAACTTTTAATTTGGTCAATACATTACAACAGAGACTTTGAAATATGTGGGTCTTATCACAATTGAGTCAAAACAGCAATGATAACAAAGGACATGTATCTGATTTTGATACCAAATTCATTTTATGAACATTGTGGTATAACAAATTTAAAAAAAATGTCAATTGGATTTCATTCCAAAGTCTTCAGTCACAGGTTATAATGTATATTGAACTTCCATAGCTCTTCCTACAATGAAAATACATTTATTTTTAGAGCACTTGTAAAGATTTCACTATATTTCTCAGTGTTAAAAAACCTCTATCTTAATTTAGTAACTTGTAGTATCTCAGTACAAAGTGTGTGCTTGCATGTGGAAACATGTCTGTGTCACGTAGCAACAAAATTTCTACCAAATAAAATTGTCTTATTTATATCTGATGATCTGTCTGTCCATACCATATTTTTGATACCCTTAGATCTGTACAGTTCCCAGTTAGGCCAGTCCACAGTGATTGATGAGACCTTTGCCAGGTTAAAAGAGACAGTGGACCAAGAGGTCAGCTACATCAAGCAGCTGCTGGAAGTGATGGGCACCATGGACACACTGTTTGCTGCCTCAGTCCACAACCAGACTATGGTGCACCAGGAGATAATGCCAGGAATAGCACATGTTGAAGCACCATCTTGATAATGTAAAGAAATTTAGGTTTTGTTCAGCAGAGAAGAGGAGTTTGTTCTCTATAAACTGCAGTTGGTGGCACCAAGCTCTTGAAACAACTTATACAGTTTTGTAATGAATAAAGAAAGCCAGGGTGCGATTTTCTTAAATAAAAACAGTTCAACTGTGTTTGTTGTTTACCATTTAAAAAAAAAATTATTACTTTGTCTCCCAAACCCCTTCATGTAACAAGATCAAGAATGTCATAAATGGTGTGCATACAGGAGCATCAAAGTGCATGATGAAGCTTTAGCAATGTTTCCCAACCTGCTGGTGAAATATATATCCAACTTTCGAAGAGATTGCTTTTGTTTATTACCTAATTGAAAGTTTGAGGAAATCTTACGATTGCAGGAAATTATCTGAAACTGTCTCTAGCACATCTAATTCACTTGCATAACTGTTGCAACCGAGTTAACCACATATCAACACTGACATGAAACCAGGCGCCATCCAGTTTTAGCTTCAGGAAGACTTCAGTCAATTGCTACACTTTTATTTATTGAACTGCCTGCAGGAGTATTTTGATATTAAAATATTCCCATTCTTTATGCAACTGTTGAATTCTGGGAAGATCATGTGATGAGTTATTTACTCAACAGTCAAGACATTCCATTATGTCAACAGTTTTTGAAAATTTTGGTTAATGACTTTTAGACAAGACTTGTGTAACTTTATAGCTGTTTTTTTTTTTACTAATGGCCCCTTCTCTGCATCCACTTATTCAACATTGAGGAGATCAGCCAATGTTTTTTGTTCAACATCACTGTCATTGTCTTCATCTTGTTCTCCCATGTATTTCTCAGCTACAGTCTGGATTTTCTCATATTCAAACTCTGCTCCCACAGCACAGGATAAAAGCTCTTGAATACTTCTCTCTTCCATGTCGCCAAAGACGTAACCATTTGCCTTGTCCACTTCACGAATTACCCGGAGCATACAGTCCCTGTCCTTATTATATAAAAGATAAATATATATTCATATAGGGCAAAATTATTTCATAATTACTAATATAGTTGAAGAAATATTTTACAATTTTGAAACAATTTAGAAAGATGAACTTCATGGTTCAACCACTTAAAAAAGAAAACGTGCTCAACTATCACAATGCCATATTGCAGTCATTAAGCACCCACACGGAGGATTCTCACATAATCTTCTGAAGTCAAAGTTGAAGAAAAGATACACAGCTTTCAAGTGACCAAAATTTGAGGAGTCTCCCGACCAAAGCAAATGTTTACAAATTTTAAGTGGACTGGTCATCTGAGCAACTGGTCAGCCTACCTTGATGTTCAGTGCCACAAATGACACAAGGCTGTAATCCTCTACAACACTGACCAAAGCTTCATTCAATTTTCTGTACTTGCTGAAGAATGGGTCTTCCTGAAATCAGACAGGCAAAAAGTACAAATAATAATTTTAGTGTGGATAACAAGCATAGTGACATTTCATTTTCCAGCAGAATCTTTCTTTTTGTGTGTGATGTATGCCCGTCTCCATGTTGCTCACAACACTCCACACTTGTCTAAATTAAATTTTCAACATTTTTTAAAATCAGTGACTTTAATGCAATTAATCCAACTTATTTTAATTCAAAGTTCAACTGTGGTTGTATACAGGAAAAGTGAAAAAGTGAAGATAAACTTCTACAGTAAAACTGTGAAATGCAAGACATTACAAAAATCAATATATAATCCATCCAATAACACTGGAACCTCAACATTCTACCTGTAAATGCTCCAACAAATAAGACAAGTCCAGGACATCAGTATAGAAGTCTAAATGGAAAGCCAGCTGTCCATATTTCTGAATTAAATCTGCCTTGGAGAGAACATTGACATGAGGTAGTTCACACTGTAACATGGTGGACAGGGATGTTAAGAGAACTGAGACAAATTTTGATGCTTCGCTACAATAAAAAGAGTCCACCATATGCACAGCAGTTAGGCGATAGTCCAGTTTGGTTAGTCTGCCGAATATCTTTTTCACTGAATCATCATGGGTGTACAGTTCTACTTGACCTGGGCAGTCAAATAATAAATAGGAGTCTTTTAAAGCTGAGACTTTGCTATGTAACCAGTCCATATTCCTCTCTAAAAACTCCATACAGTATATCAGGCCACCATTTGGGCCCAGTTTCAGACTGTCCATAACATCAGATAATGTGATGAGCTCAGCAATGTTCACTTGGCATTTGTAAGGAAGAATATCATTGGCTGGGTCGAGGTTGATGACGGCTACTTTCCGTCCCATGGCTGTCAGAAACTCCTGCATGGCGGCGCAGTATGTAGTCTTCCCACTTCCAGGAGGACCAATCACTACCTGGCCAAACATCCTGAAGCCTGGACCTCCTGAGGTAACCTCCTCACTGAAACAGGTTTAACAAATACTGATTTAAACAAGCAGTTAAAATGACCTTCATCTGGTGATAAATAATATTTTCACATTGTATATTAGGCATCAAGTTGATCCGAGTTTTCTGGCTCAATCACATGATCTATCATTAACTATATGTGTCCTACCAAAATATGTATGTCCCAGGTGTGTGTTTTACTGATATCTGCCAAATAAAAAGAAACTTTGCACAAAAATTTTGGATGAGTAACCACTACTGCAGTATACATTTTGCAGTTCAAAAACCAAATGACAGACAAGGTAACTTGGAATGTACAATTTTGATGGCAAATGTTTTAGTGTGGAAAGGGGTATTTGCAGGATTGTGTATTTGGCGAGTGTGACATCAAAATCAACCTCATGTGACCCCCTTGTTTTTTCTTAATATCCAATTTATAAATTAAATTAGCATTTACTAATAAATATGTTGCGAAATATTTGTAGAACAAACTATAAAATGACTGTTTTTATTCTAATTTTAACATTAAAATCATCAGCCTTTATGTTATTATGTGGTAAGTTTATGTTTCAGATTCTTTCACATTACATAAATGTTGCAACTTAATAAAAAAAACAGCATGACAGTAAGTTATCATTCTGTTAGATGACTGTTCAATGATCAAAATCTTACTTTATATTTACATTTATATCTTGACTACATATCTAAATACATGTTAAATACAGTACTTGATCATTATATAACCATCTAACAATTAATGCTCTGAAGGGTATTCATAAACATGTACATATACAGTATAAATTACATAAGGGAGGGGGCGATGGACTTAGTCAAGTCACAACTGAAATATTGACTACTCAAATTCTCTCTCTCTCTCTCTCTCTCTCTCTCTCTAGTGTTACTAGTATATCATCAAATCAAAATTTGGGAATGCAACATACTGCAAAAGTGTCCTAGCTTTCATAACTTTGCTGGCATAAAAAATTCAATGTCCAATATTTCCGGCCACAATTTTCTCCTATCTATTTTAACTTAATGGTGAAATGTAAAAGCACTTTTCTCAAGCATTCACATAAACAGATGCTCTGTGCCACTGTGGTGTTTATTTTAATAAACAAATTAAAATTTGTCAGTAGTCTTCGTATCCACCGTGATCATTGATGCCTCTTCCCCTTTTCACCACATTTCCCCCTAGACACCAAAGAATTGCTACCGGGCGTCAAATACTATTACGTGCAAGAGGTCTATTGGCAATGCACCGTGCCCAAGTAAAAAAGTTCAAACTTTCATTTGTTCAGAGTAAGAGTGCATGCGTCGGCTGTGTGAGGTTGAGAACATTATAAAAATTTTGGTACCTAGCCCAACATAAACGAAATCGACCGACCGCTTCGTCGTCTGTTGACTTGGCACCGTAACCAAATTTGAACCTGTGTCCCTAGAAGATGATATTTACGGAGAAATAGAGAAATGCAGGACTGGCTTGAAGCATTTCGCACATGTTGAGTTATCAGAAGCTGCTAGCAGTTCGCAATCTGATTGGACAAAATTGCATTTAGTGCGGGGATAACAATGTCTCTGTTTACAGTGACTGCCAGGTAAGTTTCACGTGATTATAATTTATTCTACCGTTTCCTAATGCTTAAGATTGTCTGTATTGTTTAATTAGGAGTGGCTTTCAAATTTTTAGTGTTTCTCGCAAACGATACGTATTTGTTTCACTTCATTGTCTTCAAATGAGATAATCTCTATCATACAACTGTAAAATATGGACACCTCCCACTTTCATTTAGTGATAATGATTAAAGCTTTTTTTTAATTCAGGACTGCTATATCGACAAATTGTGAAAATATTTAATTTCAATATCTTCTGTTTCAGCATCAAGAAGGCTGTTTCACTGGTAAACAGTCTAGACTCTGGAAAGTTCCCATTATTACTATCAAGGATCCTGCAAAAGCTGCATTTGAAGGTAAGCTGCTGTGTACTTTGTTGTTATTATTATTTTAAACATAATAGATGTTATGTCAAATAATTCTGTTAATGTGCTGTCTCGTGTACATGGCTACTAATGTGTAGCATTTTCGGCACATAACCACGCTCGGCTGTCACCTTGATTGGATAGTAAACGATTGTCGTAAAATCGCTAAATGATATTAAAACCGGGTGCATAAACTTGGAAACCACCTAGGACAACCTTGGACTGCCACATTAATCCAATACAATGCAAAAATAAACTATAACAAGTGGTTAAAGCCTTCAAACCAAATGTCGTAAAGTCCCCATATACCTCCATAGAGACATGGACCTAATGAGAGAAGGACGAGAAACGCGGAGCAAGATCAAAGGATAATCGGCTTAACGTGAGCTCTTCGCGAAACCATGTGCGTTCGGATCACACGACCTCCCGTACAGGTAGTGAGCATATCGCAGTTGTCGATGACTTTTTGTGTCATTTGGGCAGGTAGTTCGCGATAACATGAGTCAATCTTTCGGGTGGATGAGACAATAAAATTATAGAGATGAAGTATAAGTACAATTTGTTCTGTCAATTTGGAAACCATGTGAGAATTTGAAATGTTTATTCATGGAGGAATTCAAAATGCCCTATGTGGTTAAGGCAATCTTGTTTGTTGCCATAAAATGAGCATGCAAATTTGTACAATTGTAGTGTAGTATACTTGTTTTCAGCTTTGATCCGATTGGAAAATATTTTTAGTGTCAAACTTTTCTCTCTTTGTGAGAAATTAGCCTGAGACACGGCAATAATGAAACCTTCAATCGCGTCTTGAATTAAAATGACGCAATTCCTCTCCGATTTATTCAACTCGCTGAAATCGTTTTAGGTCTAGTATTTTTTACGTACGGTTTAGATAAAGGTGGCATTTACACTGCTGTGAACTATATGAATAGGTTTATGTTACTTGCTTAAGTGAGCCCGAATTATGTAGTGATAATTAATATTTTTAACATTCAATATGGGCTCTCGTTGCAACAGGGCACCACACACGCATTCGTGACCCACAAAAACGCACCTGTGGGTCTTTTAATATTTTTTTAATCAAAGTTGACATTAATATTGCTCTGAAGTATATATATATATATATATATATTTTTTCACATTACCGGCTACGGTCTGCTCCAGTCTGAGAATGATAATTATTATTTTTTTAACTTTCAATATGGGCTCTCGTTGCAATATGGCACCACACACGCATTCGTTACGCACAAAAACGCACCTGTGGGCCTTTTAATATTCTTTTATCAAAGTTGACATTAAAACTGCTCTGAAGTATATATATATTTACACATTACCGGCTACGATCTGATCCAGTCTGAGAATGATAATTATTATTTTTTAAACTTTCAATATGGGCTCTCATTGCAATATGGCACCACACACGAATTCGTTACGCACAAAAACGCACTTGTGGGCCTTTTAATATTCTTTTATCAAAGTTGACAATAACACTGCTCTGAAGTATATATATATTTACACATTACCGGCTACGGTCTGCTCCACTTTGAGAATGAAAATTAATAGTTTTTCATCTTTAAATTGGAGTCCCTAAACAGCATAGAGACGATTGACAAACACCCTCATTGGTCTTTTAATTCAAGTATAAATGTGGACATGTACACATGCAAACTTCGTGAATATATTTACTTGGGTAATGGTCATAAAAGTGGATCTTGATCACATTTGTGATTTAAGTCTCACCTCTGTAATTGGCTTGCTACATTGCATTATCTTGTTATCAGATACGTTTGGATAGCACCTACCTGGCTTTATTAGTCAACATGCTTTTAAACCAGTTATAAATCAGTTCGACATATATCAATACAATCTTGGAAACGATAACAAGTATAGACAAAAGCCAGAGCCCGTTTTAATTAGGTAACAGGAAAAAGAAACTGAAAACCCGAAACAAATTTCCACTTGCTGACGCAAATCTATGTACTAGCAATTACAAGATGTAGGCAATGCTATGTCATAGCAACCACGTGGGACCGCGAGAAATTGCGTTATCCATGCAATAGAACAAAAGAATTTCAATGAGGCACAGCGCGCGCTACCTTGATAATAAGTTGTTCAGGCTCCCGTGGAGCTATCAAAACAGCTTATCTGAGACAATGGGCGAATGTTTACTCAAAGGCACATAGCTTCAAAGGAAGATGCCGCGTTTCTCGTCCTTCTCTCATTAGGTCCATGATAGAGACAATAAAATAGAGTAAGCTTGTGAAACAAGAATAAACAATTTTAAACAGAATAATCGAAATAAAATACTGCCGGGCATCAGAGCGGCCTAAAACTTGGCATGCTTACCGCAAATACTGCAGGCTACATCACCCCGTCGCTCGTTTGTAAATTCCGTGCATGGCATACGCACAATCAAACCGTAAATCAAAATTCCACCTCTGATGTTTATTTCAGTCCACTCTAACCTTCAATTACGAAAAAGAAGCCATGCCATTGGACAATACGTCATTACGTCAAAATTCCACCTCTGATGTTTATTTCGGTCCACTCTAACCTTCAATTACGAAAAAGAAGCCATGCCATTGGACAATACGTCATTACGTCATTTCCTGAATTGGAAGGCTTTTGAAGGCTTTAACCACTTGTTATAGTTTATTTTTGCATTGTATTGGATTAATGTGGCAGTCCAAGGTTGTCCTAGGTGGTTTCCAAGTTTATACACCCGGTTTTAATATCATTTAGCGATTTTACGACAATCGTTTACTATCCAATCAAGGTGACTGCCGAGCATGCACATAACAATAGTACCAAACAGAGGTGGAATTTGATAGATGCATCAGTTTTGGTGCTCAAACTTTTTTTTTTTTTTTTTTTTACTGTAGTAAACATCAGCCTTTAGAACAATGTCACATTATTATTATTGGAATTTTTCCCTAACTGTTGAAGAACCTGCCCTTTTTATTCAATTTGGGCATCCTAAAATTCTAAAATTGCATGTAAATTACAAGTTCATTAGATATACTAATACATTGTAGCTCTGTAATGTACAGTCATAAAAGGCATGGAAAGACATGGCAAGTTAACTCTAGTAAGGGTATAGCTAGCAGCTTAAGGCGGGGTTTTGGTTGATCATTGTATGTTTTCATGTATGACTTTACTGCCCAGGATGAGCGAGCTTTCAGTGAGGAGGAGGAAGAGAAGCTGCAGTCTGCATTTGGACTCGAAGGAGAAGAGCTAGACTTAGTGATTACAACATGTGAATTCATTTTACAGCAGGTACTCAGCAAATGTTTTCTAGGATCGTGTTTGAATGTAAAATAGGGCCCTGAGTTCTTGATTTTTTTTAAAAAGGATTTTCTATAATGTGCGCATATTTTATTGCTGACCTGTTTGATAAAATTTTTTCTAATAGTGGGGAAGGGAGGGATTTTGTTGGAGAGGTCACCAGAAAAAGAAAGAGGGAAAATATTTGTGATCAGATTTAAAGATAACTACAATTATGACCCATTTATGAAGTAATTTTCTATTTCAGGCTGCTTACCATACAGCAAAACCAGCTGTTTTACAACAACAATTGCAGCAAATTGGATTAGAGGATGAAAAGGTAGAAAAAGTTTCCTGAACCCCCCTCCCCATTGAAATTCATGCTCACAGAATTACAAGTTATGTAAATTCAGGTTTCGAAAATGCGTCTATAAGCATCACTATTAAATGACAATATGCACATTATGACAAACATTTATTACATATTTTATGTCTTTTTGGATATAAATGCAGGTTATCTATGTACAAAGAAAATGGGAAGACTTAAGGCAGGGAAAAGTCAGTCTTTGGTCACTTTTACTTTGTAGTCAGAAGAAGTATTTTATGAATTTCCTTAGCTTTTCAAAAAATAATAAATATTTTCCAGGTTGAAGCAGTTGTCCAGATGTGGACAAATATGGCAAGAGGGGTTGTAGATAAATTGAGAAAGCGAACAATAGCACCAAAACAAGTGGGTATCTGCCTCTAGCTCATGCACTTGAACCAATAGGTTATAGTTTGAATAAAAATGTTGTTAGATTGTATGAATTTACAGTGATAAAATTTGTCTCTAATTATGAATATACATTGATAAGGTGCATTACAATAAAAATTTTTAAAAATACCATGCTTGATGATTACTTAATTTTCTTACAGCTTGAAGATGTAAATTGGAGGTTAAATCTTCAAATGGCACAGGCCAACAAGGCAAAAATGAAGCTTCCAACAGCAATGTTTGAGCTGGGGATCAAGGATGAAAATAGTGATGTAATTGTTAACTAAACTTTTTGATATGAAATTGTGGATTTTGTCTTTGATTTGAGCACAAGACATAATTTAATTGCTTCATATGTATTGTAGGGACTAGGGTAATAAAAATGAAAAATACCTTTTCTAGAAACTGTAAAAATGCTTTCCCCTTTTCAGACTAAGGAAAAGACAAGGCTTGAATTTACCCATGACGAGTTGTATGCATTCTATAACCAGGTAGGCAAACAATAACATTAAATTCATGAGTCAGTTTAAATCCTGTTGATTAGATTTGAGAAGTAATGCGCATCTTCTCCTCCATCCTCTTAAACTTTTTTACTTTGATCCAGTAAGCTGTTAGATGACGTATATTTGCAATTTATATTAAATATAGAAAAAAGTAAATTGCCCATTTGTAAATAAGATTTTTGATATTTCAGCTTGAAACAATTCAGTCACAAGTCGACTCCCTCAGCTAGTGAATGGAGATACCAAGAAGCGGAAACCAACTTGAATGACTAACTGTAATGGACTGCACTGTATCAAAAAATATGTATACAGATGATAACTGGAGTAATCAATAATCCATGTATGTAGGAAGATTTATGATTCAGCAGTTCCTTTGACAGAACCTAGATGAGAATAATGAGAAGAAAGAAAGAGAAAGAACTATATTTTATTTATTACATCATCAGTATTTTACTATGCTCTGTGTGAAAAAGTAACATATTTTTATAACTGTTGCTTAATTTGATGTTAAAACTATAAGTATGCACTGAATTAGATCAAGTTGTACAGTTTTATAAATACATTTTAGTGAATTAAAGTAAATTAATTTATTTATAGCTTGTCAAGTTGGATGTAGTGTTTACATGAATCAGTTTCCCAAAGTTAATGAGGAGAATGATTTAAACCTTACTAAACTGTTGTTTACATCTCTGATAATTGCAATTTTGGTGATCATTATACAGAATTATAATCCAAGGAGAGACTCCGGTTTGTTATGAAAGTTTCTTCAGAACACAGCTAATTCACAGCAATTTGAAATTGTCTTTATAAAAGAAAGTGTCTGTAAAGGCACTGAAAAATTGGAGTATGTAGTAACTGTGTTTATTACACAACTGTTGAAATTCCTTAAGGGAGAGACATTGGATTCAGCACTGAGGCTAGTATTTTTGAAAAAAGAATGTTGTTGTAAATTCTTATTATTGACTTTAGGTACTAAAAACTCAATCAGTTTTGTCACTGAGTGAAACTGGAACTTTCATTGTCATCATGCTAGTGGTGATTTAGCATTATTACCTAACTGGGCCAATGTACTCAGGATAACCTGTATAATATAATATTTCCATCTTGGGTAATAAAATATTTGGATATTACTCTTCAGTATTTTTTTTCCCTTTTTTCAGTTGATCAACGATTTAAAAAAGTGTTGCAATGTCTGTCATTGCATTAGAGGAGACGGCACATTTATTCAGTTGATTCACTGTGTACCTGCAATGCAGCCATGCAGGTCTTTTGGTCCTAAATTTAACCTGCCTCTAACACTTAACTGAATTTATTATTTGCTGCAGTTCCAGACCTAACGTTTGTTAAGGGACTAACTGAGGAGTGACCTTCAAGGTTTAATGTATACAGTTTAACAAAACTAAGAAATCACTTCAAAACCACCAACATTTTCATTTCAGCTGGCCAGTTAAATATGAATCAGACCCCCACCCCCAACCCAAATAAATAAATTAATTAAAACTGATATTTACATTAATGGAAATTGCTCTCAAGTGCAATATGGTCTAGACTTGTCCACAAGAGAAAATCACTGAGCTGAAGTTGAATAAAGCATTAACTTGTTAGAGATTTGTAGAATAAGGTGTAGTTTAAAACCATACCAAGATTTACCAAAATATACCATATTTTTTGTTAGGAATAGTAATAAATTGAAGATTTGTCAATATTTACGCGTAGAAGTTTTGAGAAGTATCAATACCATAACAGATATTTCCTAGCTCAGAGAGTGAAAAATTTTATTTCCAGCACTAATAGTCTTCTGTTGAATTAATAAACATTGATGGATTTGACATTGACATCTGCTGTGCTGAATTTCATTCCACATTCAAGGATATATACTAATTACTTTCAATAATTCAATATAATTACTGACAGCATAGAAAGCCTGATAGAATTATTCTATCATTAATTGAAACGAGATACAGATGCCCATGAAATCCAGTACTTGATTATTGAAATAGTAGTGTCATATTGCTTTCATAGAAATCAACAAGAAAAAAACTTGTTTTCTGATATAAATTGTTTTATTTTTACAGACTTCTTTAGCACAGATATTAGTTACAGATATATACACAACAGTTTGCAACAAAAAAGTACAACTGCAATTCTAAATGCATGATTTTGTGACTCGAGGCAGGGACTATGGAACTTGTGACACTTGTGTAAAATATGATAACAAGATGAAAATAAATGCAATTGCTATGAACTGAGCTAAAATGTTGATGTCACCACTGCTCTTTATCCTCCAACAACATTACTTTTATTTGGAAGACTTACTTATACTGATGGAAACAAAAATATCAGTTCTGTAGTCAGAACTTGATGTATAAAAAATATACATGATTTGTTGTTAATATCAAGAAGTTGCTATCATCTTCTTCCTTTCTATACAAGATGTCACGTATACAATGGTTTTTACAAGCCAATTGATATCAGCTTTTCTGTTTATATAAACTTCTACCTATTCTTCAGATAGGGTGATTTAAAATAAAGTGATGATGATTGGCATGAGTGAATGGCAGGGCTAGTATTCACTGTACAAAAAGTACACAAATCAATCTATCTAAAGCAAGATGTCTCTCTATACATGTCCAGCTGGCCGCTATGTCAAACACTAAACCTACCTACAGGATGCTAACAGACCAGCTGCGTTCCAAGACATCCTTCATACTTTGTCATTCCAGTGCCTGTTGGTCAGAGACAGAGGGCACTTTGTTCAGTCCACCAACTTTATACATTACTACATACATACCCAGGGATTTCCCCTTTAGTCACTTAGCTATGATAGTGTGGTATTTTCCACAAATTTCTTTGCCTTCCAGTGAAGGTTGTCTGTCCCTTGAATAAATGCCAGGATTATTTCTAAGCTCGGTTAAAGTGAAATACCTTTTTTTTTTTCACTTTGCAGACCACATGAGTGCATTTTTTGGAAGCAATGTTATTAACCTCCAGAAGCAAACATATAGTTTTTAAAGTTTGTTTTAAAAAATATCTAAATTTGTGCAAAAACTTGTTTGTTGCTAAATATTTTAAAAAAAAACTAAGCAGTTATATGTGTCATAATAACAGTGCATAAATTTATCTGTAGATTTTTCAGTGACAATCAAACCCTAGGTCCTAAAATTTGAGTTTGAAAAAACAAATACACATTGATGCCATAAAACATTCTCAGAAGCATGGCATTGCTAGTTACCCAGATTAATATTGGTAGTTATACAAATACAAGCTAATCAAACTCACTAATTTAGCTCCACTAAGGACTATATTTCAATCAAATGCATTTCCTGGCTTGTCAGGTCAGTAGTGTGTTAATAGCAAAAATGCTGCTGCCAATGTATGATGATATGACTCTCCTAAATACACTGTGAATTGTGCATGTTCTGATGAATAATGATGAAATGGTGACGATGGATAGAAACATAAAACATGGGGATTTTTAAAGACATTGAGAGTAAAAAAGCTTAGCCTGTACACCTATACCAGTAGTACAACATAAAACAACACTTGTTCAATGAACCAAGTGACAAAGAAAGTGAGCTTAAAATTTGGCCTTTGCAGCATAACCTGACTGGGAACCAGTCATCAACACTTTCTAATTACGATGCCTAATTTTACTTCAGAAGCACATCTGCTTAAGTAGATTTGACTGATTTAAACAGAAGGAAAACAAAATTTACTACAATAAACTATAAGTTGCCTAATATGATAACTTTAAGGACTTTGTGCTTGTTGCAGGAAGCCTAAATGGAAGTTAACAGAGTATATGTTGCTGTGCCATTTTGCATAGCATATATAGTGAACATATGAGTATCTGTACTATGGTTAACACTGCATCCTTGACAGCATACTACAATAAAAAAGACTGTACAATATACACATTTACAATTCTTATGTACACATATACACAAATATGGCAGGGCTTAAATACAGATATTTTTTCTTCCTCATTTTCACTGGAATGTCTTTTCATTCTCTTTTTTTATATAAAAATGCCTCTGTTCACACTATGACAGCACCTTGTGAGTGATTGGCCTTCCTGAGGGTTAGTCACTCGCAGCCTGGGTTAAAGTAACATTTATGTATCTTTAACCCGCAACCGTCCATAACAGCACCACTGCAGAATAGCCATTTTTTGTCAGAACCATGGAAATGTCAATCCCTGGATTAAAGGTGCTTTTTTGTATCTTGTTGCTGCCTTCGTTGTTCTTGTAAGTTTGTTTGAATGTTTGTGACACTGTGAATATTGGCATGAAGATTAAAAAAAAAATTCTCAAAATCACTGAGATCATTGTCGTTGAAGTAGCACAAGAAGCACTACGAATACAGTCTGCTCCATACGGAGAGAAGGTCAACGCAGTGTATCATACTGTCATTTCTTCATTGAAAAATTGATCCAGCTTCCAATACACATCTGGTGACTGGAAAAATGAGAACAAGTTGTTTAGCATTTCTTTCTCCAAGCCCGTTATTTGTTGCTTAGTCCTTCACCAGGCCTCCTTGGTTTGTTATATGCTATCAGCTCACAGCTTCCAGCACCCCTCTTTCATTTCTATCCACCAATGTCCTCAGCCAATAAGCCACCAGCACAATTTTGACGTATCTAGCACTGCATTAAGCTGAACATGCACATTTTATATCCAAATACACTCATTACACTATACTGTTACACATTGCCCAATGAGACTCGACTCTGCTAGCGCCTTACTCCATAAACCTATTGTTACTAAGACCACATATTGCGTACTCAAAATCATCATGCATTGCCCTTATGTTAGTAAACCTACGTTAGTAGTGATATGTTGTTCTTGTGTATTTACCTAGTAAAAGGTACTTTTATACATTATCTTAATACTGGTCATTTTTGACAATGCTTTTTGTCTTAGAATTTTCTCGAAAGTCTCAGTTACGATGGGCTACAAACTGAAGCAAACCTGCTGCTATAAGTAGACTTTCCTCACTTTTTGTTGGTTTTCTGGAACATGAACCTTGGTCTCTGGACTCCCATTCGGTAACTTTGATGGATTTTTTGGAATATTTAACACTACATTCAACTGTTTTTGCACGTCCTTGTAGCCACCAGAATTGTCATTAAAGTTTGATGAGTAATAGTCAGGACCTGGACTTTTCTGCAGCTCCACATTTGGCTCTTTGTATGATGTATCTATATTGTCTCTTCTCCTTGATTTATTATACGTGCTGAATTTATATCCGCTCAAAAACCCGACAAATAAAGATACAACAATTGCGACAACAACAGCAATGCCAAGTACCACTGGACTGTAGGCTGTCTCACCGCCTCCAACAGAAGCTGCAGCAACGCGAACATCTCCTGTAAAGAGAAGAGTAATTCTTATGAAATGATGACAGACTTCGTATCCAGCAGTGGCTGAATGGTGCTTTTACTGTATAATCCCTCTTCAAAGTGATAACCTACAAAGTATTAACAATAAGAAAAAAAAAACATCGAAGTCCATTTAAAACAGGAGAATGACAAAACCACTGACACAGTCCCTGTCCTTAACAGCTAGCCTGGCCAAAGCAATTTAAGGCTGAAAAGTGAAGTCTGGTTATTAAGGGGTAGAGACTGCTAAGCATATATGCAGCTGCAGTGGAATAAACATGTGCACCCTGAGCTTGGAGTTTACAGTGTGTACAGTGTGAGAGAGATGGCAGCAGAGCCATTTTCTCACAAATGGCATGTCAAACACACAGGGGTACTTAGTGCATCCATTGTTATCAAACAACACACATCTATACCAAAACAATACAACATGAATGTTAGTGCATATTAGTTTTACTGAACAAACAAAATATCAATTGCTTTTGATTTAAAAAAATTCAAAATCAAGCAAACCCAAGTGTTAAGACTTGTTAAGTTGTGCAATTCACTCATATCACAATGGCTGCAGTTATATTAAGGTGGCCATTGCAAAAATATGATTATCGCAAACCAAATTTTCACTAAATAAAAAGCATTCCAGGAGATTTCCCCAACCAAAATAATGACTTCTGTCAAAAAAGCCCAGTGAAGCAGACAAAATGAAGATGCATACATATGAAAATGGACATGCCTGACTTTTTAAACCATGCGTATCTGGTCTTACACCTAAGCAGTGAATATCTCATTTATATTATTGAATACCTGCTATTTTTTTAACATGAAATAATAATTATATATATGCTCCCACCAATTTCTATAGGATATGATAACAAACTATTCATACAGGTTAATCTTCTCTCAAAAATTACTCAAAACTATCCGAGAAAAACATGCAAACTTGAACACATGCAAGCTACATGTTCTCAGTTCCCCTAAGCAGATTCTGAAGGGTTATATTCTAGTTCAAAGGAGTGCTCTTTACACTGGGAAAAGAGGATGCCATTCTAGTTATCATAAGTATCCTTTTAGCCTCATACTCTACACCATTGCTGAACAGGTATTTCTTTCATGCTACATTAGGAAAGACCTTGAAGATGACTTCACACACCAAAATCAACCGATGATTGAAAAGACACAGACAAACAGACAGACAGACAGGCAGACAGTTAGACAGACGGATAGACAGTCAGACTCACATCTATGAATATAATACTTGATATAAAATACAACATATCTATAAAAGTGCAAGGCGCCATTGTGAGAATGAATTCCACAAGAAACAAGCCTTACCATTTGGAAGAGCCTCAGCACTGGAATTTTTAATATCTTGGTCTTTCTTTTTGTCACCAGCGCCATCAACTGGAGATGAGGAGGCTAGTGAAAATGAAAACATTGAAGATTTAAATAAAAAGAGTATGCATGCATGGATAAAAGCAAAAGAATGAAAGAACTTTTTAAAAAATGAGAATAAATTTCTAAAAGCAAGAGATATTCAGTTAAATCTTAGATTTACAGTAAATGCATTTTTCTTCCAAGTGAATAAAGCTTAAGTGTTTGAAGACAAGAGATGAGGGAAAGGATAACACACAGGAAATGTCTAGTATGCAAAAGAAAGATAAAGGTAAAGAGGGTTAAGGGTTTTAGTATTACAAACTCATGCAGTTGCTGCAGGTACTAGACTACAGAGCCATGGCAGCTTGGGTCAACCTTTATCTCTACTAAATTGTTAGATTACTAGAGCCAGGTTATCATAACAAATGTATTCTCACATAGTAAGAGCCCACGCTTCTTTAAGAGACTACATAGCTGGACTAGGTTCTGTCTCTCTATAAGCCAGCGAGGAAGGCAGTCTCAGTGCAAGAAGACCAGGTGTAGGTGAGTGAGGTGATGAACAGCCAATGGACACACAACTGTAAACCAGACAAGTTCTGACAGACACTACACACAGTGCAACACTAAGAGCTGCGTTGTGAGGCGTGGAAGAGCTCTGGTTAGCTATACAACCCTGCTAGCAGACACACAAACAAGACAATATAACTAAGCTGCCACAAAAGAAATGCTAGGCTCTATACAAGCAATCCAGTTGTTAGTGTAACATTTTTTTCTTGAAATTCTGTAAATTGTGACTATATTCCTTTTTTCATTGTTTTAATGATTATGAAATGCTTTTTGCTACACCAGAAGAGAGTAATACTAGCAGTTAATCCACCACAAGCTAAGAAAACTACACTTGTGCTATTTAACTCTTGTACTCTAGTCCAACAGACTATTATTACATAGGCAAGACACTCGTTAGACAAAGCACCAGGCAACTACAACTAGTAGAAAGATATTATTTTAGTGCCATATTTACTATACACTACAGTATATGTATAGGAAACTAACCCGTGGATGTAACCACAGTTTTCCCATTATTATTATTCAACGGGCTGGTCTGACTCCCTCCGACTGTGGGCTGTGGACATATGCAGGGGGCACATGTCACTGCAGGTGCTGGAGTAGTCACTATATTGAAACAAGGGAAGGAAACCGCATTAGCCTGGATTGCTCCCCTCTTTACAAAGTGCCCTCTATGGGTATTGTTCAAATAACAAGCAGCTTAATATCACTAGCATAAAAACAGGTCATTTCCACAGAACATGATTAAATATTTATGGAATTTCAGAAGAAAAGAAAATGCAAAGTTCTTTCACTAGAAACCTCTACCTTCACAAACGTCTATCAAGTGATTTTGCGTGCACCAATGATGACACATTCAAGATTGCACATTGACCTACTCAAAGTCAATTATATCATACTTTCTATATGACTGACAACTCTAATCAATCAAACTGATAATCACCATGAATCATTCATTACTTACAAATCATATCAGGTCTTATAATCATGATGATTATGGGCCAATTACTTGATCTTAGAATAGTCAGTCAACTACGCGCAATTTGGGGATATACTCTATGTCAACCTTGTTCAGTCCCTATGTCTACTGCACATGCTGTAACAATCATCCCTTACGTACCTCTTGTGGATTCTTTTGTAGTGGAGGGGTCAGCAGGACAACTGGAGTTGACACCTTGGTAGATGTTCTGAATGCCATTTATAGAGTTCTCACATTTTCCTTCTGTCCAGGAGCAATAGGGGTCTTGTAATGCTACACAAGCACTGTAAATAACAATGTCAAAATTTAACTTATACTTTGCAAGATAACAGATTCCAAAACACGTAGAAAAGGATTTTTTTTAAAAAAATTCATTGATGTTTTTTTCCATTTGCAAAGAAAAAATATTTCAAACCTGCTTTCTTACCTGCATGTTTTCTGTAGGTGGCACCTGTGAAGTGGAATGGTTTTGACCTGGTGTGCTGACACCACAATCAGTTTCTCCTCACCATTAGGATTTCTGAAGATTTTCATACTTGTGAATGGTTTGTTTCTGAAGACTTCAATTTCCTCAATTGTGACCGTCTCAATGGCTGATCCTCTGCCTTTGTTTATAGTTTTCAATACGTAACCATCACCTAAAGTATCAAGAACATATATTACAGTAAGGTAACGTGTGCAAGATTTTAATTTACCTCAACATAGGATATATGTTCTTCCATCTATTTCAAAGCAGTAATTAAGAAAACAGTACTTAGCAGGTAATAAATAAATAAATAAACTTACTTCTTCCAATAAACATGATATCATAGTAGCGTCCATCTCCAGCCCTTCTTTGCCAGTCAACAGCCATTTGGGTAAAAGTTGAACTGTAAAAGAGAGAGAAAAATGATAATGATCTAACAATTAATGTAAACAGGCAAACATCCTTATCCTGATATGATATTTAATTCTGGAACTTTTGTTTAGTATCAGTACCAAACCAAATGAATTTTAAAATTGAATGAATGCCCCAAAATTCCAAAAATTCCACTTGCTGGTTACTTTGCCAGAAGCATTTTTTCTGGATTTAGGTGTCATCCAGCACACTGTGCATACTATTAATCACAAAGTCATAAACTGAGATGAACTTTCTTTGCCAGCATGCCCCCCTCGGGGATGACCAGAATGACTTCCTCCCAAATCATCTTGTCAATGTCCTTGTCTCAAGTAAGGTGCGTATACCGACTGCCAGATACTGCCAGGGGTCAGGAAAGAAATGCCTGACTAACAACCTTGGCATACACAGTCTTGTCTTAACACATGACAAGGAAAGAAAGATGACTGTCCTAGGAGGTGACCATCAGGGGTCACTGCTGCTTAAGGCCTTTTTAAGCATTATTCACTTTTCTCTGTTCTATCTATATTAATTTGTTTAGGGAATTTGAACGACCAACATATCATTTCCAGTAGACAGCCACCATGTTATTTCAAGCAGTTTCAGGGAAAAAGTTGCAATTTAACATTATTTTGAAACTCACGTTAGAGATGTTGCCATGACAACTGGCTGTCCACCAAATGCAGGTACTGCAGATTCCATCATGGGATGTTCCTGCACAAAGTTCAATGTCATGTCATCGATGACTGTTGAACTGTTGGCACACTGAAATCACAACCATTTGATATTAAGATCAGAAAGGAGAAGAATTAATAATAATAATCTGTATGGAAAAAAGTTTTCAAAAATTAAATAAAATTCACTGATTCTTTCTTCATAATTATTTTTAGTATAAGTATAGTAATAGTATCTGTATAATTTTCAATTCCAATGTTTTTATTTATTTTTTAATACCTCAGCTGGGTGTGGACTTGGTATGCTGTCCAAGGGCGCAGACTGCCAGTTGTAATCCTTTCCTTTCTGTTCTTTGAATGTCCCCCTGAATGCGTGGATTATGTCAGAGAAGCGGAATGCACATATCGCCGAGCCCTGGATGCTGTTCTGCGGGGTGTTGAACACAGCATAGATCATGTCCGTGGCATTGGACTGGTCAGAGGAGGACATGTAATTACCTTTGTGCATGTCAGATGTCGCCTCTGTAAAATAAACAAATACCTAAGTGCACAAAGAAATGTAAAGAATGCCTTTCCTAATGCATGCCATTTTCAAATTTTTCAATTTATTTTTTTGCTTACTAGAGAACTTTATAGCCACTTTGTTTTTTTAATTTCCATCAAATCTATTTTGATTAGGTCATTGCAAGTGCAAATACAATCAATTACAGGATCAGTGATTAGGTTACCACTATAAATAAAATATGCAATTAACTGAATCGGAAATATTCCATTTCATAGCACCCATTATTTCAGCTAATTTAGCAGACAGAAGTGTATTTTTATTCCGTCCTACTGGAGTATCTGGTGGCAATCAATACAAATTCTACATATTACATGTGTTCTGCATCTGATTGGCAGTTATATCATCCGTTCTAACAGCATTACAACCCACTGACATAACATGGAAACATTAGGCACATTGCTATTTGATTGCCAAATTGACTACATTTAAATTCATCAATGCAAATCAACTATTATCAAGTTGCATCAGGCTCGGCTGCTAATTCCCAAAGGTTTCTCACGTTGGGGAAATGGAGGAAACTGTGTCCATTTATTTTTTTTGCATGTTTAACATTGGGACTGGTGGAGGCTGCAGCAATTGCCAATATTGCTTGCACATGATTTCCCTGAAGGGATTTTGCTGGCTATGTGACTCACTCCTGTGGCTCACCACAGCCCAGACGAGACGGCAGTGTGTGTCTGGCAGTCTGCAGGAAAAATCAATGTGGGATGACACATACCTGCTGAACACACTTCTGCAGCTGGTTTCAACATACACAAAGATGTTCCATTGATAATGCAGCTTCTAAATAAATCAAAGGGGTTCCTGTGCTCAGAACTTATAAATACCTTTTAAGATGAAAGAGGCACTTACGGATTTCATCAAAATAAAAAGGATAATCCCCTGGTATGGAGCAGTTGAGACGGGTTTTGAAGAAGGTTGTGAATTCTTTTTTCAGCAAGATCTTTCCTCCCTGGTCATTTTTGCACACTCTGGCCACCCTTGAAAATATGGCCTAAAGGAAAAAAAAATAATAACAACAATATTAATAACAATAATTCCAAATGACATTAATGCATAACACATGTGCAATTCAGGATCCATATCATGTAACAAAATGCTTAACTGGTGGTATTTATCAGCATCTCCTGACCAATAGCTATCTTCCCAGATCACAAAGATACCAAGGTGGTAACATAGGCCAGATAATTATTCTGATAAACCACCATCACTGGGCCTGCTTTCTCGTTACATGATGTGGCAATCTCCATCTTCACATCATCTCACTAGATACATTAACAGCTAATAGCATATCTGGCTCCACATTAAAATTAATCAGTTATCAGGCCTCCTTGCACTAAGGGACCAGGGTTCAGCAGGAAATTCCAGTTAAGATGATCAGTGCTTTATTCTTTTTCTTTTTTTTTTTTAAATGTATAATGTACCTTTCCACAGTTGATGTACTCAACTGCTGGCTCACTGAAGAAGAAATAAATTTTATCTTCATATTCCATTGAGCTCACAAAATGTGTGGGAACTGAAAATAAAAGAATGGAAAGTTTTATACCACTGACAGTTTCATATTAGAAATAGAACACAAAGGGTGCAAAACCGTGTTAAAAATTCAACTACAAAAAAAAGCAACTTTAATTTAAGACAATTTTCATATCTTCTTAATGAGCCTTCAACCTACCATTGAGCATCATGGAGTTTCTCTGTACTCTGATATCTCCATTGTAAATCACAGGTTCATTGCCATCAAAGTGTAATTCAGTGGCAGTATATATTTTTCCACCTAGGGAAAAAACAATACAAAATCGATGTAAGCTTTTGCTGGTAACAGTAGACTTCTTACATAATGTTAACTTTTTTTATTTATTTCAGGGGAATAAAAAGAAGTAAAATTTCCATACTGATGAAGGGTTTGAGGGAAACTAGCCACAGAAATAATATGCGCATGGTTGTTATTTAAAAGCATTTAGCTGAAGATGCATTGTATTGGTAAAAAATAAAGCACATTTTTTGGCAAAAAAAAAAAAAAATCCAATAATCATTCAGGCCACATGGAAAATATGGCAAAACTGCCTTCACCTGCTGATTGCTTCACTGAATGCACCATTAAACAAGCATTAAATGCACTTAATTCAAGTACTCTGACCCTTAGCCCATGATTAAACCTGGACTTAACACTTGGCACTATATGGCAATGGTAATTACATGCACCTGTCCACCCCTTAGCTGTCACACCATATACTGATGAGAATAGAGAGGGACAATGACTGTGACATCAGTTTATTTTCACTTCAATCTCTAACAAAGAAACCAGTATAAGCTGATTTTTTAACATATTGCAAATGTAACTGTAATAGGCATCTCAGTATACAAAATAGAAGTGTAGGGTATTCTTCCCCCACCCCCTCTCTCTTTTTATTTCCCTCCATGTTGGCCAGTGCACTCACCTGCATACAATGCAGTGCTGTTACTCTGTGGCAGATAGGGGGCCACCCCTTTTGCATTGGACAATGAACCTATCTGACGATAATTGATACCACCCTGGAAATACAGAAATGACAACTGGTTAAGAGAAAGGTAATTAGGAAATCTATCTAGCTTGAAAATCAATAAATTACTATACCACACTTTTTGTCAGTAACTTACTGACTTCAGAATGGTTTAATGAAGTATATTCCAATTAAATATATCACAAGTGTCACCCTAGCTAACATAGCACCAAGTCCCCTACTACTGCTTACATTCTGTTAAAAAAATGATTTCATCATCCATACTGAGAAAGATAATGGTGAGGAGATGACAGTTACTTTGATGCCTGGCATTGTTTTCATGATCACTTACATCCAAAGTCTGTTGAATCCTGTATGTTTTGCAGCTTGGACTACATGCATAGGTGCCACATACAAAGAGTTCATCTTGAGTTTTTTGGAGCATCACGCGGATGTAATTCTGGCATTCTTCCTGTAAATAAGAAGGAAAAGGGAACTTAAGGCCACATCTTGGTGTGAGGAGTGGGCTTGTATTGGTTAATAAACCATTGTGAAGGTTGGGGTTCAAACTGGCACTTCATGCCACAAAAATGAGAAGAGGCTTTGTTTTATTTTTTCTGAACACAAATCCCTAAATGAAACCTGACAAATACTTTAAGGTGCAGTCCTTTTAAAGAAGGATAACATTTCTTCTTTCTGTTTCATGAGATGTAGCCATCTTAAGGTACAGATTAACCTGTATATATCCATAAACATAGGGTGAAACTTTTATCTTCTATTTACATAAAAACAAAGTGGGTTGAAATATTTTTTTTCGTTGGCTTCATTTCCCTTCTGTATTTCTCGTTGAATACATGATATATAGGGTACTTAACCAAAACATGGCCTGAACCATGGAAAAAGAGGCTATAATGGATGCGGAATATTTTCTCGCTTGATATGGTGAACAATGCATTAATTGCTTAAAAGCAATAACGTGCATAATAAAGCTACAATGGTAGACCAATCAAAACTAGAGGATCAGAGAGGCGATACCGCCTCCAGATATTGTACCACCAGCTGGAGTAAGCGCATTCGTNTAAGATATGATAACAAACTATTCATACAGGTTAATCTTCTCTCAAAAAATTACTCAAAACTATCCGAGAAAAACATGCAAACTTGAACACATGCAAGATACATGTTCTCAGTTCCCCTAAGCAGATTCTGAAGTGTTATATTCTAGTTCAAAGGAGTGCTCTTTACACTGGGAAAAGAGGATGCCATTCTAGTTATCATAAGTATCCTTTTAGCCTCATACTCTACACCATTGCTGAACAGGTATTTCTTTCATGCTACATTAGGAAAGACCTTGAAGATGACTTCACACACCAAAATCAACCGATGATTGAAAAGACACAGACAAACAGACAGACAGACAGACAGACAGACAGGCAGACAGTTAGAACAGACGGATAGACAGTCAGACTCACATCTATGAATATAATACTTGATATAAAATACAACATATCTATAAAAGTGCAAGGCGCCATTGTGAGAATGAATTCCACAAGAAACAAGCCTTACCATTTGGAAGAGCCTCAGCACTGGAATTTTTAATATCTTGGTCTTTCTTTTTGTCACCAGCGCCATCAACTGGGGATGAGGAGGCTAGTGAAAATGAAAACATTGAAGATTTAAATAAAAAGAGTATGCATGCATGGATAAAAGCAAAAGAATGAAAGAACTTTTAAAAAAATGAGAATAAATTTCTAAAAGCAAGAGATATTCAGTTAAATCTTAGATTTACAGTAAATGCATTTTTCTTCCAAGTGAATAAAGCTTAAGTGTTTGAAGACAAGAGATGAGGGAAAGGATAACACACAGGAAATGTCTAGTATGCAAAAGAAAGATAAAGGTAAAGAGGGTTAAGGGTTTTAGTATCACAAACTCATGCAGTTGCTGCAGGTACTAGACTACAGAGCCATGGCAGCATGGGTCAACCTTTATCTCTACACAAATGTTAGATTACTAGAGTCAGGTTATCATAACAAATGTATTCTAATTCTCACATAGTCAGAGCCCGCCCTTCTTTAAGAGGCTACATAGCTGGACTAGGTTCTGTCTCTCTATAAGCCAGCTAGGAAGGCAGTCTCAGTGCAAGACCAGGCGTAGGTGAGTGAGGTGATCACAGCCAATGGACACACAACTGTAAACCAGACAAGTTCTGACAGACACTACACACAGTGCAACACTAAGAGCTGCGTTGTGAGGCGTGGAAGAGCTCTGGTTAGCTATACAACCCTGCTAGCAGACACACAGACAAGACAATATAACTAAGCTGCCACAAAAGAAATGCTAGGTTCTATACAAGCACTCCAGTGGTTAGTGTAACATTTTTTTCTTGAAACTCTGTAAATTGTGAGTATATTCCTTTTTTCATTGTTTTAATGATTATGAAATGCTTTTTGCTACACCAGAAGAGAGTAATACTAGCAGTTAATCCACCACAAGCTAAGAAAACTACACTTGTGCTATTTAACTCTTGTACTCTAGTCCAACAGACTAATATTACATAGGCAAGACACTCGTTAGACAAAGCACCAGGCAACTACAACTAGTAGAAAGATATTATTTTAGTGCCATATATTTACTATACACTACAGTAATGTATAGGAAACTAACCCGTGGATGTAACCACAGTTTTCCCATTATTATTATTCAATGGGCTGGTCTGACTCCCTCCGACTGTGGGCTGTGGACATATGCAGGGGGCACATGTCACTGCAGGTGCTGGAGTAGTCACTATATTGAAACAAGGGAAGGAAACCGCATTAGCCTGGATTGCTCCCCTCTTTACAAAGTGCCCTCTATGGGTATTGTTCAAATAACAAGCAGCTTAATATCACTAGCATAAAAACAGGTCATTTCCACAGAACATGATTAAATATTTATGGAATTTCAGAAGAAAAGAAAATGCAAAGTTCTTTCACTAGAAACCTCTACCTTCACAAACGTCTATCAAGTGATTTGGCGTGCACCAATGATGACACATTCAAGATTGCACATTGACCTACTCAAAGTCAATTATATCATACTTTCTACATGACTGACAACTCTAATCAATCAAACTGATAATCACCATGAATCATTCATTACTTACAAATCATATCAGGTCTTATAATCATGATGATTATGGACCAATTACTTGATCTTAGAATAGTCAGTCAACTACGCGCAATTCAGGGATATACTCTAAGTCAACCTTGTTCAGTCCCTATGTCTACTGCACATGCTGTAACAATCACCCCTTACGTACCTCTTGTGGATTCTTTTGTAGTGGAGGGGTCAGCAGGACAACTGGAGTTGACACCTTGGTAAATGTTCTGAATGCCATTTATAGAGTTCTCACATTTTCCTTCTGCCCAAGAGCAATAGGGGTCTTGTAATGCTACACAAGCACTGTAAATAACAATGGCAAAATTTAACTCATACTTTGCAAGATAACAGATTCCAAAACACGTAGAAAAGGATTTTTAAAAAAAATTAATTGATGTTTTTTTCCATTTGCAAAGAAAAAATATTTCAAGCCTGCCTTCTTACCTGCATGTTTTCTGTAGGTGGCACCTGTGAAGTGGAATGGTTTTGACCTGGTGTGCTGACACCACAATCAGTTTCTCCTCACCATTAGGATTTCTGAAGATTTTCATACTTGTGAATGGTTTGTTTCTGAAGACCTCAATTTCCTCAATTGTGACCGTCTCAATGGCTGATCCTCTGCCTTTGTTTATAGTTTTCAATACGTAACCATCACCTAAAGTATCAAGAACATATATTACAGGAAGGTAACGTGTGCAAGATTTTAATTTAACTCAGCATAGGATATATGTTCTTAAAACTATTTCATAGCAGTAATTAATGAAAACGGTACTTAGCAGGTAATAGATAAATAAATAAACTTACTTCTTCCAATAAACATGATATCATAGTAGCGTCCATCTCCAGCCCTTCTTTGCCAGTCAACAGCCATTTGGGTAAAAGTTGAACTGTAAAAGAGAGAGAAAAATGATAACGATCTAACAATTAATGTAAACAGGCAAACATCCTTATCCTGATCTGATATTTAATTCTGGAACTTTTGTTTACTATCAGTACCAAACCAAATGACATTTAAATTTGAATGAATGCCCCAAAATTCCAAAAAATTCCACTTGTTGAATCCTTTGCCGGAAGCATTTTTTTCTGGATTTGGTGTCATCCAGCACACTGTGCATACTATTAATCACAAAGTCATAAAATGAGATGAACTTTCTTTGCCAGCATGCCACCCTCGGGGATGACCAGAATGACTTCCTCCCAAATCATCTTGTCAATGTCCTTGTCTCAAGTAAGGTGCGTATAGCGACTGCCAGATACTGCCAGGGGTCAGGAAAGAAATGCCTGACTAACAACCTTGGCATACACAGTCTTGTCTTAACACATGACAAGGAAAGAAAGATGACTGTCCTAGGAGGTGACCATCAGGGGTCACTGCTGCTTAAGGCCTTTTTAAGCATTATTCACTTTTCTCTGTTCTATCTATATTAATTTGTTTAGGGAATTTGAACGACCAACATATAATTTCCAGTAGACAGCCACCATGTTATTTCAAGCAGTTAAATTTGCAATTTAACATTTTTTTAAACTCACGTTAGAGATGTTGCCATGACAACTGGCTGTCCACCAAATGCAGGTACGGCAGATTCCATCATGGGATGTTCCTGCACAAAGTTCAATGTCATGTCATCGATGACTGTTGAACTGTTGGCACACTGAAATCACATTTGATATTAAGATCAGAAAGGAGAAGAGTTATAATAATCTGTAATGAAAGATTTCAAAAATTAAATAAAATTCACTGATTCTTTCTTCATAATAAATTTGAGTATAAGTATAGAAATAGTATCTGTATAATTTTCAATTCCAATGTTTTTATTATTTTTTTTCAATACCTCAGCTGGGTGTGGACTTGGTATGCTGTCCAGGGGCGCAGACTGCCAGTTGTAATCCTTTCCTTTCTGTTCTTTGAATGTCCCCCTGAATGCGTGGATTATGTCAGAGAAGCGGAATGCACATATCGCTGAGCCCTGGATGCTGTTCTGCGGGGTGTTGAACACAGCATAGATCATGTCCGTGGCATTGGACTGGTCAGAGGAGGACATGTAATTACCTTTGTGCATGTCAGATGTCGCCTCTGTAAAATAAACAAATACCTAAGTGCACAAAGAAATTTAAAGAATGCCTTTCCCAATGCATGCCATTTTCAAATTTTTCAATTTATCTATGCTTACTAGAGAACTGTTATAGCCACTTTGTTTTTTTTTTTGTTTTTTTCATTTCCATCAAATCTACTCTGATTAGGTCATTGCAATTGCAAATACAATCAATTACAGGATCAGTGATTAGGTTACCACTATAAATAAAATATGCAATTAACTGAATCGGAAATATTCCATTTCATAGAACCCATTATTTCAGCTAATTTAGCAGACAGAAGTGTATTTTTATTCCATCCTACAGGAGTATCTGGTGGCAATCAATACAAATTCTACATATTACATGTGTTCTGCATCTGATTGGCAGTTATATCATCTGTTCTAACAGCATTACAACCCACTGACATAACATGGAAACATTAGGCACATTGCTATTTGATTGCCAAATTGACTACATTTAAATTCATCAATGCAAATCAACTATTATCAAGTTGCATCAGGCTCGGCTGCTAATTCCCAAAGGTTTCTCAAGTTGGGAAAATGGAGGAAACTGCGTCCATTTATTCTTCTGCATGTTTAACATTGGGACTGGTGGAGGCTGCAGCAATTGCCAATATTGCTTGCACATGATTTCCCTGAAGGGATTTTGCTGGCTATGTGACTCACTCCTGTGGCTCACCACAGCCCAGACGAGACTGCAGTGTGTGTCTGGCAGTCTGCAGGAAAAATCAATGTTGGATGACACATACCTGCTGAACACACTTCTGCAGCTGGTTTCAACATACACAAAGATGTTCCACTGATAACGCAGCTTCTATATAAATCAAAGGGGTTCCTGTGCTCAGAACTTATAGATACCTTTTAAGATGAAAGAAGCACTTACGGATTTCATCAAAATAAAAAGGATAATCCCCTGGTATGGAGCAGTTGAGACGGGTTTTGAAGAAGGTTGTGAATTCTTTTTTCAGCAAGATCTTTCCTCCCTGGTCATTTTTGCACACTCTGGCCACCCTTGAAAATATGGCCTAAAGGAAAAAAAAAATAATAACAATATTAATAATAATAATAATAATTCCAAATGACATTAAAACATAACACATGTGCAATTCAGGATCCATATCATGTAACAAAATGCTTAACTGGTGGTATTTATCAGCATCTCCTGACCAATAGCTATCTTGAGAGATCACAAAGATACCAAGGTGGTAACATAGGCCAGATAATTACTTTGATAAACCACCATCACTGGGCCTACTTTCTCATTATATGATGTGGCAATCTCCATCTTCACGTCATCTCACTAGATACATTAACAGCTAATAGCATATCTGGCTCCACATTAAAATTAATCAGTTATCAGGCCTCCTTGCACTAAGGGACCAGGGTTCAGCAGGAAATTCCAGTCAAGATGATCAGTGCTTTATTCTTTTTCTTTTTTTAAATGTATAATGTACCTTTCCACAGTTGATGTACTCAACTGCTGGCTCACTGAAGAAGAAATAAATTTTATCTTCATATTCCATTGAGCTCACAAAATGTGTGGGAACTGAAAATAAAAGAATGGAAAATTTTATACCACTGACAATTTCATATTAGAAATAGGACACAAAGGGTGCAAAACCATGTTAAAAATTCAATACAAAAAAAAAAAAAAAAAAAAAAAAAAAAAAAAAAAAAAAAACTTTAATTAAAGACAATTTTCATAACTTCTTAATGAGCCTTCAACCTACCATTGAGCATCATTGAGTTTCTCTGTACTCTGATATCTCCATTGTAAATCACAGGTTCATTGCCATCAAAGTGTAATTCAGTGGCAGTATATATTTTTCCACCTAGGGAAAAAACAATACAAAATAGATGTAAGCTTTTGCTGGTAACAGTAGACTTCTTACATAATGTTAACTTTTTTTATTTATTTCAGGGGAATACAAAGAAGTAAAATTTCCATACTGCTGAAGGGTTTGAGGGAAACTAGCCACAGAAATAATATGCGCATGGTTGTTATTTAAAAGCATTTAGCTGAAGATGCATTGTACTGGTAAAAAATAAAGCATATTTTTTTTTTGCAATATAAAAAAATCCAATAATCATTCAGGCCACATGGAAAATATGGCAAAACTGCCTTCACCTGCTGATTGCTTCACTGAATGCACCATTAAACAAGCATTAAATGCACTTAATTCAAGTACTCTGACCCTTAGCCCATGATTAAACCTGGACTTAACACTTGGCACTATATGGCAATGGTAATTACATGCACCTGTCCACCCCTTAGCTGTCACACCATATACTGATGAGAGCAGAGAGGGACAATGACTGTGACATCAGTTTATTTTCAGTTCAATCTCTAACAAAGAAACCAGTATAAGCTGATTTTTTAACATATTGCAAATGTAACTGTAATAGGCATCTCAGTATACAAAATAGAAGTGTAGGGTATTCTTCCCCCACCCCCTCTCTCTTTTTATTTCCCTCCATGTTGGCCAGTGCACTCACCTGCATACAATGCAGTGCTGTTACTCTGTGGCAGATAGGGGGCCACCCCTTTTGCATTGGACAATGAACCTATCTGACGATAATTGATACCACCCTGGAAATACAGAAATGACAACTGGTTAAGAGAAAGGTAATTAGGAAATCTATCTAGCTTGAAAATCAATAAATTGCTATACCACACTTTTTGTCAGTAACTTACTGACTTCAGAATGGTTTAACGAAGTATATTCCAATTAAATATATTACAAGTGTCACCCTAGCTTACATAGCACCAAGTCCCCTACTATTGCTTACATTCTGTTAAAAAAATGATTTCATCATCCATACTGAGAAAGATAATGGTGAGGAGATGACAGTTACTTTGATGTCTGGCATTGTTTTCATGATCACTTACATCCAAAGTCTGTTGAATCCTGTATGTTTTGCAGCTTGGACTACATGCATAGGTGCCACATACAAAGAGTTCATCTTGGGTTTTTTGGAGCATCACGCGGATGTAATTCTGGCATTCTTTCTGTAAATAAGAAGGAAAAGGGAACTTGAGGCCACATCTTGGTGTGAGGAGTGGGCTTGTATTGGTTAATAAACCATTGTGAAGGTTGGGGTTCAAAGTGGCACTTCATGCCACAAAAATGAGAAGAGGCTTTGTTTTATTTTTTCTGAACACAAATCCCTAAATGAAACCTGACAAATACTTTAAGGTGCAGTCCTTTTAAAGAAGGATAACATGAGATTCATGAGATGTAGCCATCTTAAGGTACAGATTAACCTGTATATATCCATAAACATAGGGTTAAGCTTTTATTTTATATTTACATAAAAACAAAGTGGGTTAAAATATTTTTTTCGTTGGTTTGATTTCCCTTCTGTATTTCTCATTGAATACATGATATACAGGGTACTTAACCAAAACATGGCCTGAACCATAGAAAAAAAGGCTATAATGGATGCGGAATATTTTCTCGCTTGATATGGCGAACAATGAATTAATTGCTTTAAGCAATAACGTGCATAATAAAACTACAATGGTAGACCAATCAAAATTAAGGATTCATGCTATAAATACCCAGACGTTCTTGGTTAATTTTGCATTTTTTTCTCTTTTTCAAAATAAAACTTTCATATTCAAAAAACCTTTTGAGCAAAATTTCACTTATGGAAACAAAGATTTTCATTAAATGTTCCATTTTTTTTTCACAACTTACCTGTGTTTTACCCCTAATCAAACAAGCAGCCTTTTTATTTTCCTCTGCAGGCCATTGTTCTCTCTGAAATTGATGAAAGAAACACACCTGATAAGTCTTGAACATTTTATCTTTTTAGCATGCAGACTGTGACCATGTTAGAAAAAAAGACAATTCAAGATGCAGACACATTTACGCTGGTAACAGCAAAGTGTGACATGAGCAAAATATCTTATCCCATAATGTCGCTTGGTCTTCCAATAAATGATCACATTTCTAGAGGTTAAGAATCTTAGGCTATACCTAGCTGGCAGAAAAATAAATGCTTTTTACTGGCATTTTGATAACTTTTTAAGAACATTTTTATTACTCCAATTAAATAAATGTCTAATCTCAATTAACATCATTTAATTGCTGATCTAAATGACAAATTAACTATAAATATTAAATGATAAATTCCTTTTTTATTTGCATATTGCCCCTGGCTACTTGGAATAAAGTCCACTTACCCCGTTCACATGCAGCAATGGGAGACTGAGGTTATAAAATTGGTTCCTAAAAAAATTGAAGATACGAGAAATTGATTAAAATAATTCAATACTCTTGTAATCTAGACATTTGCAGTTAAATTTTAGAGTGTAAAATTAACAATGAATTCAGAAAGAAAATTATAAAATCTTAACTTATTTCTTTCGTAAGTAGGCAAAAAAAGAAAAAGAACTATGGACTCTAAAGTAGAGGAACAGCGCAAAGAACAGCTCAGGGGAATAATTCCGTATTAACAGAATTAGAAGCTCAATGAAATTATCATCACTAGAGGCCCTTGCCAGCTTACTCATCACATATAAAGTGATGCATTACAGGAAGATTACTTTTCCTGTAGCAAATCACTATCTACAATATGCTCATCCATCAGTGCCTAAAAGGCTGCTACCAGTTTTATGCAATATAATGTGGATCTATATGAAAACTAGTAAGGGACCTTTGTGAAAAAACCATTGTTTAAACAGGACACAACTTGTTGTATATGGGCAAGTATAAATTTCATAAAGTGGCAATCAGGTGGGAATGTGGGTGTGTGCTTGCATTGAGAATACAACCATACAATAAAATAACTAGAACAAGTGAAAAAAAAACCAAAAACAACTTACTTGCCCCCAATAACCACACTATTGTCATCAGAAATAAACAGCTTAAACCAGTCGTAATATCCCTCTGAAGAGGTATCAGATGGAAATGATGCCACGCCTGCATCTGAAACAAAACATCAAGAACATCATTCAAGTGTATATATATTTGTGTATTTCAAGTATATCTGAAATGCTGATAATGAATTTTTGTTTTAGCTATATCAAAACACAAGGGAATGTCATTCTTCAGACTTAATTATGCCATATTATCAACACAGAGAGCACAGTTTGGCCTAAATGGTACATTTATTAGAGTTGAGAAGATAAGTGAAGTTAATGTGTACTACTAATTAAATCTTAGCATTCAAGACAATAAATATGAGATAATTCAAAATAATGTGACAGGATGTTAATTAACACTGGGACCTTATTCAAATCACTCCTCATGTTCTCTTTTGTCTAGAATTTTGAATGGGATTTATTTTGACCACCAAAGAGGGTTGTAAAATCAACTAAATATTGTTGCCTTCTTCAAACACCTAAAGAAATCGGGTTTTACAATAATAGATCATAGTATTTACTGAGCATAAAATTAAAGTTGAGCAAATGTGTCCACTAAATAATAGGTTCATCAAACAATAATATGGTACACAAAACAAAGACATAGTGTGCTTGTGAAAAAAAGCATTAAACACAACAATACAATATCTGTGCAAAGGTCAGGGAAAGGTAGTAATCTACCAGGGAGGAGCCAGTAGTTTATCAATGAGTTTCTCCTTTTGTGAATGTGTACATCTTTAAAACATTAATCTTATATTGCTGAACCAAAGGTCAGTAGCAGAACATGCGGGGAGAGCATGTCCTCTCCAAGCGTCCCTGAAAAATGACCACTTTCTCCAGTGCCATCTTATTCCCAGCACAGACCCATGTTAGCTGGTAATATCCCAGGGCCCCGTGCTATCCCCCTTCACTTAGAAGATGTATGACAGAGCTAGATCAAAGGCAGCCTCTCCACAAATGACCAAGAGGTACAAGCCTCCCGAGGCAGGCGATGATGGATCCTATGTGCTATCATTGGTCTCCAGAATGATGTACAAATACGTTTTAGTCATGCAAGGCATTAAACTGGTCCTGCTCAGACGCTAGTCATGGGGTCATAGCTTACAGCGATCGGGTGAAGGCAGCCATTAGGGCAGATAACAGAACATTATCCCCCATTCTCATATCCTGCACCCAATCTCTACCTACATGCAAGAGCAGCATTAGGGGATAACAATATTACCTTTATATCAAACTTACTGCTCCATTCAACTAAAAACAGATGGTAATTTTTTAATTTTTTTTTCTTGTTATCAAGTTGAGTGTCTTTTATAGGATACAAGCTCAACAAAGGCTTCCTATTAAGTTTTACAGTGACATAATAAATAAATGTAGATCACACTACACATTAGCTATCTTCACTTTTTTCTTCATCTGTCTCACTTTTCAAGTGAACAGTAACTCTTTAACACCTTATTATATAACAATACTATTTTAAAAAATTATTTCGATAGTTCTCTGCAAAACAAAATAAAACCAGCTGAATTTATAATTTTCATCACCTAAATTATATCCTTTTTTATTTGGAAAAAACAAAGAAAGAAACATAATTTCTAACTTTGCACTTCTTTCCCCAGGTGTTCTAAAAAAACTAATACTTTTTTATCTTTGGACATCGCTTCATTTTGCATGCAGGCTGCATTTAGTATTCATGAGCTTCTATGCTTATGAGTGCGGAACACGCATCAAATCATAAAATATCTGCCTGGCGGTGCTATCATTCGATGCAGGTCATTAAAATCTTGAGGTGTTTTTATGTGCCTTTCTCTTTCTGTTCAGAAAACAACAATACCCTTTATCTGTATCATCATAAGAAAACTGTGTAAACATGAGCACAACATGCCTGGAACAAGGTCATAAATAAACCACTTTTTGTCATCAATGTGACATTAGGGAGTGCTGGTCAGGATCAGCATCTCCCACCTTCCCTACATGTAAAAATACCACAACAACATCACTTCCACACCTGCTACCTCAATTTTCACAGATTTTATCTCACCTTCGTCCCAAAAATATCAAAATTAACACGATTTTTAATGGAGATGATGTCAGATTCATTGTGGTCATAGCAATTAAGTGACCACAGGCTGGCCAGTCACCTTGATCAGATTGGTGACTGTAGCCCCCTTCCTAGACCATCAGACTCGTTAGTTCAAGTGTAAACATGATAATAATACCCCCTGCTCACTGGAAAGTGGATGCGCACAAGTTCTGAGCACACATACCAAACAAACACTTTAACAGGACAATAGCTCTTATGCGCGTCTCATGTTTCATATCACAATCTAATAATGCCAAAACTTGACATTTTATACTCCCTCCGGTCAATTCTGTCTGAGGAAACATTTCTTGACTAAACTATTGTAAAGGCAAGAGTGTATCACTTTCTCAAAAATTTAATACCCTCCAAGAAGAGCCAATGTGGGAAAAGGAATATCTTGTAGCAATTGTTTTCATTTTCTGTCCAAAAAAAAAAAAAGGAACACATGAAAAAAATGCTTTTTTTCTTAAATTCTTTGATATTTTGCCCTCCACCTTATAATTAGTTTCTTTAACTGAAAGTTTACCTTTATCCAACACGTTTAATTCAATGCAGGCCTTACAATTCAGGAAATAAAAAGCCCCCAACTCCTCTCATAAGGTATCACAGATTATCACCCCGGTCATCTGAGCACAGTTATACACACCAGCGAACACAAGCTATGTGTCACAAAGATGTCACAAGACACTGCTCCATACTCCTCAACATGACACAATAGGACCAAAACTGCTGAATCATGGGGGGAATTGGAAGCCCTTCACAGCTACCAAAGGCTGACGGCAAGACATCAGAAGTCTTGTCAACATGAGCTCTTGCCAGTCTCCACTCCTCTACTAGTGTTTGGGCATACAATTCTCCTCAGGGCTCTGTTGGCGACACATCCCTGATTTATTATACTGTCAACAAATTCTATTCAGATGACAAGAAAGAAAGAGCAAAAAGCTTCTTCTTGGACAAAGAAAAATAGCAAAATGCTCTCCTCTTGTGTAAAATTTCATTTGGACCCCTAGATGCCTCAGGTTTTGGTAAAATGATGCATTAAAAGTCACACCTGACAATGCAGGTATTAAACCCTGCTGGAGGGCTTTTCTTCAGTCTTCCCTGTGCCCTAGGTCAGTAAATTATATTCAGCAGGGTCTTAAAGGAGGTGAAGCGAAACAGTTTACATCATCTAATGCAGGGTCACATTGATTGTTTGAATTTCTTCTTCAATATTAAGGGTGCAATTCAGCATGAAAACTAAAGCCTCCACAAAATGAATACCTATGTACACACTGGCTCCTTTACTATACTGCGTCTTAGACAAACTTTCGAGGGTGGTAAGAGCCGCTTGGTAAACTTGAGGCACTACGAAATGATAACACGACCATGTATACACCTGTTAAAGGGGAGGATGTGTGACAGGGGACAAAAACAACATAACACAGGGACGCGTTTCATAATAATTCGACAAAGTTTAGCACTGCTTTAATAGCTTTCTGAATGGAGCATGTTCACAAAGCGCATGGCACACCACGCGGCTATGGCGTCAACGGAAAGGGGGCCCCAGACACATGAATATACTTATTGTGTTGTTGTAGAAAAACAGCAAGATGCATTTTTTTATTCTGGCAGCTATAAAATACTGCAAAATATATGCAAGCCAAGGGGAGGGGTCTTTTGGTTACTAGCAAATAATTTTTGTTCTTAAGCAGGGGTTACCATTAGCACCAAAATCTACAAGTTCACCGTCAAAAAAATTTTTTTTTGCATTACCAGTTTACTATCTAAACCAATATGTTTTATGTCCAAACTTTCAATGTATGTCAATGACAACCCTGACCTACAATTCTGTTTTTCAGAAACAAATTTTCTCCAAAGCCAAACCAACACAAAAACATCTCCAGGGTGAATGTGATGTAACACGTTACTTAAAACAACTTTCCACTTTCTGTCAACATGAAAAATCTCTTTAGCTGCCCTTTATACTAAAGGTTACATGATTATATAAATAATCGGGGAGATAGCATATGAACACACAGCGTATCTAGAAACTTAGACAGCTTGAGCTAGAAACTTGAGATAGCTTGATCCCAGGTGACATGGCATATCTTGTGACACCTGCACATTTGTGACAGGGCCAGGGGACCAGTGAGGAAGAGGAGGAAGGGGTGAGTGTACCAGACACCCTGGCAGCAGGGGTGGGGCAGGTGCCACGGCTTCACTGGGAGCAAAGGTTAACTCCAGAGTGTCACACAACTGCCCAGTAAACCAAGACACCATTGTGGCCCATACAAACAACTACCTGTGTATTATCTGATGTGGACTGCCTCCATGGTCAAGTGGCAAGATTCTAATTTTAGGACCAGATAGGCATCTCGATAATCATTAAGTCAAGTCGGACATGCATTACTGCAATTTGACAAAAATACAAAACAGAAGGATAAATGGTTTATTTGTAGTTTTCAGGGGTACATAAAAGAGATTTTAATTGTAATCCATATTACATAAACTCTTTAAGAGACATGGGTTTTTATCTTGAGCAAGATTTCAAATGACACAAGTATCAAAACTCTGCTTTAGTTGCCCAAATCTTGGAATTAGAATTTCTATCTCAGTTTTAATTTGCCATAGTGACATTTAATTTATCTCTAAATACCCAATCATGGCAAAATTGAACTTTAATCTGTCCGATAAACCACCAGATCCACAAGTAACACTGGCTCAAAGGACTTATCCCTGCTTGTCCAATTTAGCACAACAGCAAATGAAGCATCATTTCGATAACAGTGAAAAACCAATAAAGGAAGAGGGATGAACTGTATATGCTGTTTGCAAAGGGGCACCGCAAGGTACATAATTCAGATAAAATCTTTGATTACTCTTCAAGCTCTCTTGAATACGTTATCAGTTTGTTTTCTCTTTTAGCGTGAATCATTGACCCCCTGGTGCGGTGCCTCGTGCCACAGTGTTTCTCAACCGAAGAATCTCAGTGAATAAAATGAAAAATTGTCACTCAACTCTATATATACATTATTCACCAAAGCTTTTTCCTATGTAATTTTATCTCTTACACCACCTTTTTAGTAATCAAAGTAATCCCTACTCAAATACTACCTGCCTTGTGTCAGAGATTCACCTCTATGCCCAATCACTTAACTACCAAAGTTATCATGACTTTTACCGTAATCAAGACCATGATACTTTATCAGTGACACACATCCTTTTTCTCCCTCAACAAAGATTTTTTAACATAAAATAAACCTCATAAATAAATAGACCATTTCAATATGAAACACATTATTGTCATATGATACAGCAAAAAACATAAGTTGTTTACTTGGGATAGGTCTTGGAAAACATGAATATTTGTCATGAAACCCACAGTGTCCTTGAGAACTTCTTGGTAAGGCCTTTGTGAAAACAAAATCACCTGGGCTCAGCCTGCATCCTTCTGTGGGGGAAACAAAGCCTGTGCCCTTCCCCACTACAATACCTTGGTGGCACACACAGCCCTGATCTTGCTCATTTTTCACTCATCGCATTACAGATCTTTTGTCGTTATCAAAACATATCCAGTCTCCCAAATATTTGTGTCCAGATACCGGGCTTTGAAATGAGAGGATTTTTAAGAGCAGAGACCACAACTTTTATAGGGCTTCGGTGAACTAGAAAACTTTACTTCATTGGTATGCAGGTGAGAGAAAGGCACACAATAAAGATGGCAGAAGACGTGACAAAAAAGAAGGTACAAACAAGCGTCTTCTTTTGCCTCAACACGGGTACATTATTACCAATAGTGAACTTCACAGCTGGCAACTTGCCATGCAGTTCAGATTTTTTT